ACCCCCCCCTACAGAATCCTTATTTACGCCCCTGGATACAGTTATGTTTAAAACAAAAAAATGTGAAATTGTAAACTTTTTTGGTAAATTTTTTAATTTTTCTCAATGATGATATTAAAGTGTGGACAATTATATTTGTATGAAACAAATATTTCCCCAAAATCGCTAAACTTTGTAAACTTTGTTAACTTTGTAAACACTGTCTGCTATTATTTATATTTGCAGTCGGAAACCAGACTTCCGTGATGATGATGATGAAGATGGAGATGACGAACCCAACCCTGATCCTGCTCACGATACACCGGACAAGAGCGAGGAGGATCGAGTCAGTATCAAACACCTCATCCATCTACCGAATGGACAGAAAAAGTGTCATGTGTGCGGAAAAGTGTTCACGGACCAGAGCAGGGTGAAGAGACACTTGATGTCCCACTCCGGAAAGAAACCGTTCTCCTGCCACCTGTGTGGTTGGGGGTTCTACCAGAAGTGTAACATGGACAGGCATATGGCGAGCCACACAAAGGTAAAAATAAAATAAAATGAAGAAATGTTGGTAAAAAGTTGCTTTATGATTATGAGCGAACATAAAGAAAGCATTTAGGTGCTCATTTTATTTTATTTAACATTTTAGTTGCTAACCGTTCCTATTCAAGCGTCATTTTTCTTTGTAAATCGTACTTTGCGGATCTTTCTGTTTAAATTGGCGCATTAAAAAAAAATGTACATCTTCAACCATCCAGAAACTTTCTGTGAGTTGTCACATAAAAATTGGACTCGATCGGTTCAGCCGTTTTGACTTTTATTTGATACAAATAACAGCTGACAAACACGCCAAATTTATATTTACTAGATTTCTAAATAAGTTTTTAAATGTTTCTAAGTTAGGTTTTTTTGGAGTTAAAAATTGCTTGGTCCAATTTAAATTTTTTTGCGGATACAGGATGTGGATATTAAGCACAGTTTTGATTATATACAGTTTATCTTACAAAATAAAGGAGGGAGAAGGTGAGCCGTGTCCTCACTGTAACAACTGGTTCACCACCAAATCCGTTCTCTCCCTCCACATGCGGGACGCACACAACGACCGTCTCCTCACCAAGAAGGAGGTCGAGGTCACAATGAACAGGATGCGCCGCCAGATGGAGGAACAACGGAAGGTAAATTTGTATTTTAGAATTTTTGAGAAAAAAATCTTTCTCTTTAAAATTAATCATCTGAGTCTACGGGATCTTTATATGATTTGCGGGAAATTTTTTTGGTTTGTTTGCTATTTGAATCCTTGATTTTGATTGATTGATTGATTGATTGATTGATTGATTGTTAAGAAAGTAGAGCGTGAGAAGGAGGAGCGTCGGATCCATGAGAGAATGAAGCTTCAGAGACAGCAGAGAGAGCAGCACATGGCGCTTCTTAGGTTTCACAGGGAGCAGCAGCAGCAGCAGATGAAGGAGAAAGCAGCAGCTGTTGCTCAGGGGGTGCTAGGAGGGGTGGAGAAGGCATTCTCTTTCCAGCAACATAATCAGGTGGGAAACATACGGGGGGAAGGGGGGCGGAGGGAGTAGATAATTATCAGTACTCCCCCGATCAATTCAATACATTTAGGTTTTGTAAGGTCTGAATGTAATTTCAACACAAACGTTATTTCTTCCGTTTTTATTTTATTCCAAAACAAATAGTTGATTACCCCAATACCTGTTCATTTCCCTAAAAGCAATGCAAACAAAACCTATAAAAAATTATTTGTCATGATTCTTTAAAATATATTTTGGTTCAGGAGGATATGTTGAGACAAATGAGCAGAATGAAGAATTTAACCTGTAATCTCTGTGGGAAAACATTTGTGAAGAAAACAAACTTAAAACATCACATGATGCTCCACAGGGGAGAAAAACCGTGGAAATGTAACATCTGTGAATGGAGATTTGTTCAGAAATGCAATTTGAAAAAGCACATGGGTAAGTCTATATTTGCATTGGAAAATAATAAGAGAATAATGAAAATAATGAGGAAGATATTTTCGTTTTATATCTGAACCTTCATTGTCTTTGTTGTTTTTTTATATTTTAACCAGAGTTAAAAATAAACAATTATTATGCCTAAAAATTAGGATATCTCATTAATCTATTATCAGACAAAAACAACCCTGTATATTTAGAATCTCACATAACTGGATTGTTCTCCTGTCCTGTCTGTGATATCCGGTTCTCAAGCAAGGCCAGTTCATCGACTCATCTCTTCAGGGCTCACAAGGTAGATTAAGGGACTTTACGCCAATATTTCAACATATATTTCAGCATATCATAATTATAAGTTATTGGGACTATTTCCATTTCGATCCATTGCTTCCAAACCTCTTTTAATAAAAAAAAATAGTATTTTATCTTACAATTTGATAATTTTGTAAGTTCAAATTTCAAAAAATGTTTTTGAGATAGCTTTGCCGATTATTATGTGAAATTTTTTAGTTCGTCTTCACATCGGATCATGTTCATTTTTGTCCAACAACTTTTTTTCGTTTTAGGGCGAGCTTCCTGAAGGATTTATGGAGATGAAAGATGAAGAAGAAAGTGAAATCCCTCCTCCTAAACTCAATGATCAAGGTGAAATATTGACCACCCAATCCCAATATTTTTTTTTGAAAATTATTGATAAATACCAAATACACATTTGTATACATAATTCACTTTTACCGTAGTGTATACTGTGAAATATTGGAAAATAGAGGTATTCAAGCCTTGCATAAGAATTGTACCTTAATTTAAGGGTAACCATTTTGGTGTTCATCGCACTTTTTTCCTTCAGATGAAATAACTATAAAATTAATATTAATATTATAATCCACTGGTTTAAATTTTTTTTACAAAAAGAAGAAGAAATCCTCGAAACCTATGAAATTTTAATTCCTCAAGTTTTTTAAATAGGTATTTCTCATTATTATTATTTCGGACGAAGTTTGAATTGTTTTTCACTTCGTTTCAGATAAACCTGTGACGAACAACTGGTGGAAACAGTTGGATATGAATTCATCCCAACCCAAACCAGCTAACTCTCTACAATCCAACCTGCAGGAGGCCCTCACTGGATCCAATCTTAAAGCTGCGCTCTCCGGATCCAAACCCAAACCTGGAGGGATCGGATCCAATCTTCAAGCGGCGCTAACTGGATCCAATCTTAAAGCTTTCCGTGGCTCGAACCTGCAGGCTGCATTGAGTGGTTCTAATCTCCAGGCAGCTCTAAGCATGCCGAAAAAAAACATGGCGGATATGTCACAGCAAGTGACGCAACCGATGACTTGTAACAAATGCGGGAAAATGTTTCTGACCAAGGAGCATTTGGAGAAACATATGTTGGTGCATAACGCAGGTTGATTAATTGTCTTAAAAAAAAACATCAAAACAAATTCTGCAATTTTCTACTTTATTCTTGATTGTATTTTTAGGTGTGAAGCCATACGCCTGTCCTGTATGCGGATGCAGGAAAGTGTCAAAAAAAAAATGAAAACCTGAATTTTAATATAACAAAATTAATAAGTTTTAACTAGATCCTATTCCATATGAAATTCAAATCAGGTCAAAGAATTAAGTTGAACCATTAGAAGATGGTTGCCGAATGCCAAATGTCGATTGTCGAAAAAAAGAAAATTTCTCCTTATCAAATGCATTCTTCATAATAGTACTAATCTGAATTTTTTAAAACTTTTTTAAAAATGTTAATTGATAACTTTCTTTCTTCTTCTCCCCCCCCATACCTTGGATATATTGATTTTAGCCATAAATTAAACATAATCAGAATAAATTCAGAAATTATCAGTGAAAAGTAGACATGACCTATCAGGTTAAGCAAAACCCAAAAACATTATTTTTAACAATTTTAATCCCAAAATTTTTTTCTGAAAGAGGTTATTCAGTTAAGTATTGACGATTTTCTCCAGGTTTCATCTTCTTCACAACATGAAGCGTCATATCCTGACTCATGAACATCAGGGAGATATTGAACAGGGGACTGCGGAGGGTCTGATCAAAGCTGCTGAGTCCACTGCAACCCAGGTAACCAGGGGAACATAAAACTAGAATAGGAAGACGACATTTGGCAATATAGTGCGTAATTGATGTTGTCACGGTAAATGGTTTTACCGGTAGCTAAAAATAAATGTTTTGTGTGTTGTACTTTACACTGCATAATTGAAGTGTTTCGTGTACGATTCACTTTGCAAAATCTAAACATGAGTCTAACAGTTTTCCCCCATAGTTAATACCTCCCACTGTGTATAGTATTGACAAAATTTTATGCAAGGTTACGCTTGATGGACTGGTTAATTATTAAGATAATTCTGTTCTAGACCAGTTCAGTTGGAAGACCCGGTCCGTCGGGGTTCTTGGGTAAACTTAGTGGTGGTTCCCTTGATATAGAGGTAAATCCTACTCCAGGGGTGTATATTTTATAGAAAACCATTTTAATTCCCCTTTTGAAAATAATATTTTTTTCCCAGAAATTATTTATGCTTTTAAAGGTTTTTCATGCTGAATTGGAAAAAAATAAATGAGTTTGAAGAACAAAAATCAATGAGTTTTTGGGTCAAAATTATCAACAACAAAAAAGTGAAGAGATTTGATGCCCAAATTTGCTTTTTTTTTTTTAATCATCAAAATAATTCTGTAAAATATACAACCTCGTCCTACTCCCCTTCAGTGTTCTCAAACATTCGACAAAAAAAAGAAATAAATCCTGATGACGGAATTTTCGGTGTGGAGTAAAGTTTATCTGGAACACTTGATCTCTATATATCCAATATTAGTAATTTTAAATTTGAGAAGAAATGGTTGATCCCTCAGTTAAAGTTATCCCAGCTGGTTATGGCCACCATGAGATATGAAAGAGGAATAAAGATGAATGAGTAGGACTGCTTGATCCCGAAATTTACAACACAAATGTTCTGATTTTTCTTCCTGTTTTCTGATCAATGTTTTCTCTTATATTATATACGGCCGGATCCCAAAAAAGAATGTATATTTGGTGGAAAAAAACGACTGCAAATTATGTCATGCTGGACTTTTCTAATTAATGCAACAAAACGATTTTAGAAGCATTCTTAATTTTTAATAATAATTGCCTGTTTACTTATTATAGAGCGATAATAATAATAATGAATAATAAAATTGCCTTTGTCTCTTCAACAGATTTTGAATAATTGTATTAAACCTAATTCGATACTTACTGTAAAAATTAGAACCAACCAAAGACTGTAACTTCTCTGAACAAGGTTGGTGGAAATCATTATCATAAAACTGAGATGAGAATTTATAAATAGAGACAGATAGTTGACCTAGGTACATCTAGTTTAACTACTGGTTTAATTAAGCAATAAAAGTAATTGAATTATCCTGTTAAGCAATCTCTCTCTCATCATAAATTTTTATCTATGATGTCACAAATGGCAAACGAATTCTGTCATTCCTAATCTAATCTAAACTGATCTAGGGTAAAGTGAAGTGTATTGTGTGCATGAAGTGGTTCAGCACCGCGGCCAGCTTAGCAGCGCACATGGAGGTCCACGACAAGGAAAAACCCTTCTCCTGCTCTATCTGCGGTTGGAGGTTTAAACAACATCAGAACCTCAAGCGTCACATGCACACACACACAGGGGTCAAACCGTACGCATGCGACTTCTGCGTCAAAGGATATACAGATGCGTACAGTTTGAAGATGCACGTGTGTCGGGCACACCCTGAAGTAGCAAGCAGTTTACCTTCTATGCAGATTACTCCAAGACCAAAGCAGACGGAACAGGTAATAGTTTTAAAAAAATAATTGATTACGAATATAAACAGTATGAAAGTATGAATAGGTGAATAAAGGAATGAATGAATGAATGAAAGGATGAATGAAAGGATGAAAGGATAAAAGGATGAATGAAAGAATGAATGAATATGTTTTAAGGTGGATGATGAAGGATTTAACAGTATGCTAAATCAGATGAAAAGGAAAGAGGGGGGAAATAACATCAAATTAGAGGTATAATCTAATATAATCCACGGACAACCCCCCCCCTAACTTGGCTTCATCAAAACCTTTAGAATTTGTTAAAAAACCACAATAATATATTTTTTGTTTAGGATCTCAGTTTTGAAGAGTTGGAAGTGGAGAACGACGATTCTTTGACGATGGAGCCGGACATAAACCTGTTCACTCCGGAGGAGGAGATGGTCATTGACGAGGACGAAGAATTCGAAATCCAAGACGAGGATCCTCAAAAGGAGAGTTTAGAGATCAAAAGGATGAGCGAGAAGGTTTCCGGACAGGAGAAGAGTAAAGTTGAATCGACAGACAAGGATATCCAGGAGATCATGGATATGGAGGACGACGAGGAGGAGGAGGTCGAAGAGATTGATCAGGAAACTGAGGAGATTGATCAAGAGGTCGAGGAGGTTGATGAGATAGATCAAGAGGTCGAGGAGGCAGAAGATATTAGCCACGAGGTCGTTGAAGATATTGTCCGGGAAGATTTGAACGAAATTGAGATTGAAGAAAATGAGGAGATTGAAGAAGATGATCTTGATGAAATTGAAATAGATGAGGAGGAAATTGAAGAACTTCAAGAAATTCAAGAACTAGATCTAAACATCAAACATCAGGAGGAGAAAAGTAAGGAAGAATTGAAAGTAGACAACGCCTTCAATAAACTTGATAAAGAAACTGTAAGTGCGAAAGAAGTATCTAGCAGTGAACTTGAAAAGAACTCGGAAAACGAAATGGAACGTTGTACGGAAGATGCATTAAAAGATACATTAGTGAAAGACAGTGAGATTATTGAGGAATTTGAGGAAGAAGAGATCAAGAATTATATACGCCCAGAACAGGAGGAGACTAATAACATAGAGGCAGAGAAACAGGTATGAAAAAATGAAGGGAAAAAAATAGATTTTCTAAACATGAATTTACACCAATCTCCTCCTTACAAATCATAAAAGCATAAAATTCATCTAAGGTATGCCCATTACCTATACAGCGCCCCCCCCCCCCCCCCCCTCCCTCTTCAGCTAGATTTTCTTCTTCAGAGTTAAGGCATACAACTTAAATACTTTGATTTAGGAAGCTGATGAAATCTCACCCGAAGTCGAAGATGATTCAGCTAAAATTGATAAATCAGAAAAAATATTATCTGACGCCAGCAAATCCGCGAACTCCACGGATGATTCAGTTAAAACTGATAAATCAGAAAAAATATTAGCTGACCCAAGTAAATCCAGGAACGCAGATAATTCCGAAGAAGCTGATGAATCAGAAAAGATGTCGGCTGACACAGACAAATCAGGGAAAGTTGAAACTATTCCTGAATTAGATATTGATGAAACCTTCCATGATCCAATCCTTGAACAAGTGAGCAGTGCTCGTGAGAGTCTAGCCGACGAGGATGAAAAAAGTGAGATCTTGTAGGTTAAATCAACAAGAATAAATTTTCCCGCAAAATACTCGTAAAGCACTTAATGTAAACTGAGTTATTAAGAAGTAATAAAAACTCAAGCATGCAGACTAACTTTACAAAAAAAAATTGTTTCTGCAAAATTTGAGCAATTCCATTAAAATTTTATTTCAAATTTGTTACCATATAGCGTAGATTGTTTGTAATTTTATAAATCATGTCTTTGTAATTAATACTAAAGTGCTTGTTAAGTGAGATAAATAAAAAACAATCATAGTTAATTTGTGATTAATGAAAACCGCAAAGAAAATGGAAATTAGTAAAAACGAAATAAAAAAATTGTTTCAGAAATCATGATTGAGATTTAAGATTAAACAACATGGTCGCAATACAGAGGAAACCAACAGGTTTGTTTAAATTCAGTAAGTCCTGAAACTTAAATGGAGTGTTCGCTAAAATTTGATATTTTATATATATCTAATGTTTCGTAAGTAAAGTCTCTTTGTTGGAATATAATACTATAGTACAGGGTGTCTCATCACACCTCCTATATGAGAGACGAACTAAAGATCATCTTGTGACATAAACCTAAAGGATTTTTTCATTAATCTATTGGAAAAAATTTGCACAGAAAAGTACCTCCATTGTGTATCAGTAATTTGACGTATACACGTTTTTGATTTTATTTTATGATATTATCTCTCCATTAAGTTAAAAAACATAAAAATGCAAACAAAAAGGATCTTTATTAAGTCTCTTAAATTGTTATAATTTAGCGGGACCTGTGGATCTATTTTTTAAATCCTTTTTTCTTCTTCCACTGTCCCTAGAATTTATTTTTTATCTAGAATTAGTTTGGGAACCCGGTGCTGCCCAGGTTACTAACAGTTACTCCCGCTGTTTACCCGCACTTTTGGAAATTATGGTTTTAGCTATTTTTTCCTTTAAAAGTTGATCATTCAACTTAGAATCTCAAAACAACGAGGTTCTCCTGAATTCCTCAATTCAACTCGGTCTAGGGGTTCGTGAGTTATGATCGGACAAACAAAAAAACAGACAGAGATTACAACTTTATATATATAGATATAGATAAAGTTTGTTAAATAAGATAACTAAATTTTATTTTGTGGAAGCAGATATTTAAACACCTGAAAATTGTATTGTGTAGAAGAACAGGTGGTAGAATTCAATATATGGCGTAGATATATTGATTTCCAGTTTTATACAAGATTTGTTTTTATTCTTACACGCAGAATATGCAGTTGTAATACAGTAATATGTTGATATATTGATTTCCAGTTTTATACAAGATATACAGAATATGCAGTTGTAATACAGTAATATGTTGATATATTGATTTCCAGTTTTATACAAGATATGTTTAAGTTTTAAAAAGTTCAATTAGGGATTTTGTAGAAATAAAGATTGATGGAGAATAAAGCTATCTGGCTAGGCATGGTTGTTGAACTGAGAATGCAGTTTTGTAGAAAAATGTTTTTTGGATTCCCTTAAGACCTATCAGACGTGTTAACGGTGAATAGTTGTTCAGCAAGAGCGCAAATTCAATCTTGAAAACCCTTTTATTCATTTTGGGAATCGGTTTTTTTAAGGATTATTAAATTATCACAACAAGAAATGTAACGAAAATTCTACATTAAACTAATAAGATCTTTGATTAGTTTACTGAAGAATTTTGTAACATTTTTCGTCGTCGTAATTGAAAGTTTCTTTTAAACCGATTCTCAAATTTATTATTTGGAATCTTGTCTTTGGAAGAGCCATAGGTATGACTATATACTTTGATGAAATCAAACTAATAATAAAAAATATCCTCAAAAGTGCAAAATTAGTGAGATTTTCGGGCTTACAGTGGCAGTTTTTCTAGTTGGATGTAGATCATTAATGTTTGGAATCTGGTATAGAGAAAATGGAGTTAGATCATGAAAATGTGGCACCATATATTTATTTTTGCAATTGGCAGTGCGTCATTATTTTCTATTTCCGAAAGAATACAATGAGTCTGAAAACAAGCAGGTCTTGGAAAACAATATTAACAGAGCTGGGAACTTTTGAGTTGTATTCTTATAATCCCGTGATAGCTTGATCTCGATATCACATGTGAGCACTTTTAATTTGAGGATCAATTCTTAATCTTTTAATGTCAGTTTTTCCTCCCCTGGTCAAACCTCCAGGCGGGATCGAATAATAAAGATCTACAAAAGATCGAAAACAATCATCGATCTCGATATCTTCAATACAAGAGTTACCAGCTCAGAATGATATAAAATGACTCTGATGTATTTGTTGACATTGTATTTGTATTCATAATTGTTTCTTCTTTAATAAACTCTATTGTTGTTTATGAAAAGTGTATTCTAAAGTCACACAATATAGTTCTAGTTTTGAATATCAATATTCGTATGTTTATATTTTGGAGATTTTATGTTGTATAATGTAAATGCTTATTTAAGTGCATTTTGTGCTTTTTTATTGTTCAATGTTTTAAAGTTTGTTTTATGCTTTTAATAGTTATGTATTAAAGCAAATAAAATATCTATGTCGATTATTGTATGTATACCTATTATTGTATGTATATTGTATTTATGTATATCTATATTGTAGATATGTCTAAGCTATTGTATGTATATCCACATAATTTTGTATAGCTATAGTTTAATATTTTTATATTTGTCTGTTATTGTAATTATTCCTATATCTACATATTCATTTTATTGTATCAAGCAGAATTATCGTTGATATATTACAACGGATCTTCATGGCTTGGTGCGTGAACTAAATACTGTTGATTGTAAGCGGGTTTTTCTAACAGTGTATGTATGTCCAGTATTGTATGTATATGCCTATTATTTCACACATGAGTATTGTGTAATATGCCTCTATAATAAATATGTATTGTTAAGTAAACTGCCATATATGTTTACTATTCAGAACCTGCAGTGTGTTCCAATAAACATAATAATCAAGAAAAATATTTAAAACCCAATAAGTTTTCCAGTTTGACGAAGCGTAGGAACATTTCATACAGGGTGTCCCAAAAAACATGGGAATTCAGTGACGAATTGGATATCGTCTTTGTTATGAATTAGCACTGTAATACCAAATTTCAAAAGCCATAATATTATTATGAGTTTATTTTATGGAAAGGGTAAAATACTGTAAAGATGTGTCTGTAATATCTCTGCAAGATGAACAGTGAAGACGGACAAGTTTACTCTGTTTGTATACTGCAATTTTCTTGTTTTACTAAGTACAACCGTATGTAGTCAAAACATAAACAAACAAAATGTGAACATAGCAGACGAAATTCTTACAGATTACAGCTTTCTCAGTAGGTATCACTATACTAAATTAAAGAATTATCTTAAAAGACGATATCGAATTCGTCACTGAATTCCCATGTTTATTGGGACACCCTGTATTTAAATTGTGTTAACTGTTCTGATTTGATTTGTATACATTAACTGAAATTTGAAATGTCAATTCTTTATCTGCATTTTGCATTCATGGGATCGTCTTTTCAGGAACTGTTGTAATATCAAATTCACTCCGATACCCTTTAAACCGTAATATGATCAATAATGTGGAAGATATCGTCGTTTTTCTATGCTAAAAACTGGTTACTTTTGTAGAGAACCCACAAATGAAAATAATCAGTTTTCAGAAACAAAATCATGGATATTTGATTCTACTTGATCATACAACGCTTTTAAGGGTACTGGGATGAATGAGACGCGCAACGTGCCACTCTATCAATGGCAGGTCACTTAAACTTACTTTACACTACAGTCCCTTTAAAGGTTCATATTTAATTGGACACAGTGTATAAATGTTTTCCAGGTATATTGGCTTGTATTAGAACACTCCCTCAGATAAGCAGTATGAATCATACCGTTTACAATCAGGCCTCGGTAGGATAGGAGGGGGGGGGGGTCCAGAATACAACTTTCCTTTATAATTCCAGTTTATTAAGAAATATATTAATAAATACATATTTAATTAAAATTGTTCGTTTCTTTTAATTAATTTTTTTCAAAAAATATTTTTTGGCCCCCCTGGTCTGTTTAGTGGAGTAATACGTTGATTCAGTATTCCCAAATTCTTCTACATAAAGGTGTTCACTTCATGAACTATACTAAAATAAGGGTATATATCTATATTTACAGTGAGTTCTAAAAATATGAGAGTGACGGTTTTTCGGTTTTAAAAATCATTAAGGTTGTTAATGAAAACTCCTGTCTTCAACTTGATTATAATAGTATGTATTCAGTTAATAGTTCAACTATTAAATGAATATTTGTTTGATAGATTTTTGATGAAGTAAAATGTTTAATCTTATATAGCTTTGACTCCTAGGCCAATGAACATTGAACATGCTTAGCTCTAATAGATTTTTTCTAAGCGCAATTTCGTAATTCAAAACAAAAAATTATTTAGCATAGATTTTTGTTTTTTCATCGGCATTATTTTTAAAATGTTAAAATAAAATAAATAAATACAGTTGTCCAGACTTTTGAATTGCTTTAACTGATTAGATTTGTCAGACTCAGTCTTATCTTATCTAAAAGCTACTTAATCAGAACTTTTTAACATTTTGGACCTCTCTCATGAAGCCAAATAATGTTTAGAACAATTTTTTCTTTGAAATACTTCAATATTACAATCAGTATTTATCCATGCTTTGCACCAGCATAGATTCAGTCCGCTGTGAAAATTCCCATCAATTTTGAAGAGTCGCCACGACTTAGACTTTGATTAAACACCTTTAACTATCTTATTCTTTTCTATAGCCCTGTACATGTACATTTTAAAACTATTAAGCACTTGATTTTAGCCACAGATTTTAAGAAATAATTGGCAAAATTCTTATTGGTTTTTGCTTGAGAGCTTGCAACCTATAAATCACAGCAAATTGCTTAGGATTTTATGGGTTAAAAAAATGTTTGAAGGATGATTACTAATAATTTGTCCTTGTAATGTACATTATCACATGTTTTCTCGTAGCATGCTCGTCAAATTACAATGGTCAACAGAAACAGTGGTTCCCAAAGACTGCCAAATATTGTAAATAAAAATTATGTATACATACAATTTCCCCAATACAAATTTGAGGCCAATCGGCAAATACTGAGTTATGACTTGAACAAACAAATAGTCAGGCAAACAGTGATTACAACTTTATATATAGATTCTCAAATTAATTTAAAGAATGATCGTGGGAGATCCCCAACACGGAAATCCCTAGACCGCCATCGGATGTTAATATATTGTCACATTAATATCTGTATTTACAGATTATAGATCCATCTTTTCAATATTATTGCCCGCCTGCCCAGATTCCGGGATATAAAATGGGGAAAACGATGGACAAAATAAAAGCTTTAAGCGGAGGCGGTAGGAAAGATATCCAAGTACATAGTTTTACAGGGGGACGCACTTATATCGTAGATTTGTTTTTTATTTCACAAGAGGACGCACAAAACCGCACAATTTTAGTTGATTTACAATATGGCGCACATTTTGGTAGTTTTATGCACATTGTCAGTTATTTATCAATTGTTAGTTTTAATGTAAAAGTATTAAAAGCCTAAATTTTATTATGGACAACCAAAACGATTTACGTAAATAATCTGTTTACTGAAATTTGAGCTTAATCGATACATTTAACGCATGTTTTAATTAGTTTTTACAGATTTGCATAAACTGTGCGTAAATAATTGAATTATAAATGCAAAAAAAATGTTGATTGCACGGCAGTTAATATTACAAGGGCCGGAAGCCACAGCAAAAATAACTGACAATTTCTCTAGTTTATCGTAATGTATAGGTGGTCTAAACATACATTTTATTATTATTATATTTTTTTTACCTTAAAATATTTTCGAGTCCAAAATATCTGGTAAAATGCATGTAAAAGATGGATGAATGCTGGTTGCACGTTTATGACGCTTAATGTGAATGCATTTAAATCTTACCTTTAATCAGAGGTCAAATCTGCTAATCTGCAACACTTGATCTCGATATCCACTATGAGAACTTTTGAATTTGAAAAACAGGTGTTTGATCCCTTAATTTTAGTTATCCCTGCTGGGTTTAGATCCCGGAGTATTAAACAAAGATTTATTTAATCCTTAGCATGATCAAAGATGCGGATAACTGCTTGATAAATTTTAATCCTTAGTATGATCAAAGATGCGGATAACTGCTTGATAAATTTTAATCCTTATTATGATCAAAGATGCGGATAACTGCTTGATAAATTTTAATCCTTAGCATGATCAAAGATGCGGATAACTGCTTGATAAATTTTAATCCTTAGCATGATCAAAGATGCGGATAACTGCTTGATAAATTTTAATCCTTAGCATGATCAAAGATGCGGATAACTGCTTGATAAATTTTAATCCTTAGCATGATCAAAGATGCGGATAACTGCTTGATAAATTTTAATCCTTANCACCCCCCCTCCCCCCTCTTTTTTAATTTTAGTGAGCACTTCCTTTGTACTACAAAAAGTACTGATTATAAAAATATAATTGTTTTAGACGGAATAGATTTTAAGCCTCTTCCCACATCAGATAGACCAGTTGAACATCCCAGGTATAGTTTAGCGGACTTTAAATAGGTTATAATCCTCCGATAATGACAATGTCCAAACTAATGAACCGATCGGATCCAACTTTTTTGTGGAACCTCTCATGGCCCATTTTATGACTCAGGATTTAAAAATCTTTCCAACAAGAGCTGAGGGCTCAGGGGGGGGCGAATTTGAAAATGCGGTTCATATTTGAGAATTTTTAAAAGAAGAAAAAAAAGATGATAAATCATTTAAAGTTTGTTTCCTAGCTTAACTCCTCCTGCCTGTGATTTACCTGTTGTAATTGCTGCAAGGTAAAAACAAAAAAGATAGTTTTTTTTAAATCTATTTCAAAACTTTTTTGTTTCAGGAACCTAAAGAAAGAGAAACGGTGTAAGGTAATTAAAAATAATATATATATTAAGATTTATTCACACACAAAGATATACATTTTTGTATCTGTTTTTTTCAAAATTTGAATCATGATTTTTTATAATCAATGAAAATGAAGACACTCTACAGGAAAAGGATTGTTTGACAAATATTAACAAATGTTTTGATATTTTGGAAGAAGAAGAAAGCATGGTAACTTTCTTAATAATTATTTTTTCACTTTAAGATTTATATCAAGCTGTTAAGTTAAACACCATGGATACACAGAAACAGAGAAGCCAAGAGAAGCTGTCAATTAAAAAAAGCTTCATTTTGACTACTTGTACACTTGTAATTCGAAAAAAGCTTGTTGAAAATCAAAACTTGAAACAAAAGTCGTCTTCATTGTATTGATATAATTGCCGTTTATTGTATACAGGGTGTCCCACGAAACATCACTTGATAGTCGTCTTTGATCTTTGATTTGATTTGTGACTTTCAGTCGTCAACCTACTTTAACATGTATGATTCTTAAAACGATAACCACAAAATTCTCCTATGTCCTGGTATTTCCAAAATGTGGTTTGCCTTTTTTGTAATAACAATATCACCGGAGATATTAAGAATTTTGTTCAGTTTTAAATTTTTTTAAATAAAACATAAATTGTCGAAATCTGAACCAAATTCTTCATATCTCGTGTAATATTGAAAGCACAAAAAAGGCAGACCACAATTTTGGAATACCAGGACTAGGGGTATTTTGTGATAAATATCTCTAGAATTTTACTTCTAAAATTAGGTTGACAAATAAATGCAGCAAATTATATCAAAAATCAAAGACGACCTACAAGTCGTCTTGCTAGATAGTCATGTTTCGTGGGACACCTTACCCTGTATATCAATACAAAAAGAGTTTTTAATACAAAAAAATTTTGTTTATGTCATTTTTAGAACTCATAAAGTTTACCAAGATGCTGCAGATAAGATTGCTGAAATTATGATCGCTAGAAACTGTTTGGATTTAATTAAAGCATTAATCACAAAAGAAACGTTCTCAGAAAACCACAAATTTTAAATTATATGAAATCAGGTTATCATGTACGAAATTATATGAAATCAGGTTATCATGTACGAAATTATATTAAATCAGGTTATCATGTACGAAATTATATTAAATCAGGTTATCATGTACGAAATTATATTAAATCAGGTTATCATGTACGAAATTATATTAAATCAGGTTATCATGTACGAAATTATATTAAATCAGGTTATCATGTACGAAATTTCCAAAACTACAACAACTTTTGTCCCAATTGTTAAGTATTTAATCTTTGCATGTTTTCTAGATCGCAAAAATCGGTTTGATCGGAATATTTGTGCTCTCAATCATCGTAGCTGTTATATCTATCAACACTATCCAACCATACATCGATCACGTTCAGGTTATAGCGGGAATTGTGACTCTCCATCCAAAGATGGCAATGCCCGATTTTCAACGGTACCCTTGAAACCTTTCACTGTACTCGGATTCCTGTAATTCTGGATTGTACGTTACTTGAACTCCGCGAAAATACCATTATATCGATGTTCAAATCGGTTTTAAAAATTCTAAAGTAAATATTTTGATCAATCAAAGTTTAAAGAGCACTGTTGTGAATCAGAAAGGCCACTCTTCAAATGAAGGACCACTTTAAATTATGCCAACAGTCCCTTTAAAATCTTTCATGCAGATAAACAAATGAGAAGAAAACCCGTGAAACAAATTTTACCATAAAGTAGTCAGAGAATTATGAACACATGCAATGCATAGTCCAAGCAAAAAGAAAAACATTAAGAAATATTCTTAATATTCCTAATATTTTTAATTTTATCTGGGCCAAGCTCCTTTTTTTTACATGACGGATCCAGGATTGAAGTCCATTATTGTATGGGACGGATCCAGGATTGAAGTCCATTATTGTACGGGACGGATCCAGGATTGAAGTCCATTATTGTACGGGACGGATCCAACATTGAAGTCCATTATTGTACGGGACGGATCCAGGATTGAAGTCCATTATTGTACGGGTCGGATCAAGGAACCAAACTAATTTTTGTTATGAGCCGGATCCGGAATCCGGATCAACTGTTTTTTTTTTTTCAGGGTCGGATTTAATGCTCATTGTTTAGGATATAGAATCCAGGATGGGAGAATCTAAGGCCTCCTCTCAGGGTATCAGATCCGATCAGTCCAGTTCTCACATCGGACTCAAGCTGTACAATGAGGTAGCTGGATAATATAGTAAATATTAAAAAAATAAATGTTTTTGTTATTTTAATTAGGTTAAAACATGTGTTTTTCTTTCGATTCTTGATTTTAATTTATAATTTCTTTCTATTCTTGTTTTATTTTAATCACTTTGTATTTAATTTTTAGATTCTTTGTATTCTTGTTTTATTTCTAATTTCTTTGAATTTCTGTTTTAATTTTTAATCTCTTTCTTTCCTTGTTTTATTTTAATCTCTTTCTATTCTTGTTTTATTTTTAATCACTTTGCATTCTTGTTTTAATTTTTACGCTTTGTATTCTTGTTTTAACTTTTAATCTCTTTTTGTTTTCGTTTTATTTTTAATCTCTATACTTGCCTTTTTCAATCTCTTTCTGGTCTTGTTTTAACTTTTAATTTATTTGTATTCTTGTTTTAATTTTTAATCTTTTTCTATTCTTGTTTTAATTTTTAATCTATTTGTATTCTTGTTTCATTTTTAAACTCTTTCTATTCTTGTTTTAACTTTAGATTTCTTTGTATTCTTGTTTTTACTTTAAATCTCTTTGTATTCTTGTTTTAACTTTTAATTTCTTTGTATTCACGTATTTAATTTTTAATCTCTTCATATTCTCGTTTAATCTGATCGTTAATTCGTTTTAATATCTCTGTTTTCTAATCTAATACAGACCAATAAAAACTGTGGAAAAGGAAGGCGACTTATTTCAGTTATGCTTAAATTTTGTCCAATGAACATGGAACACAGGTATTGTACAATGTACAAAGTACATATACCTATTTCACTTAACAAGCTGATTTCACAATTACTGGTAAAACAATGTCGTCGTCTTATTATTTCACAGTTTGTTTTATTTTTATTCAATCACCTTAATAGCTATATTTTCCTTTAGGAGAGAAAGAAGAATACTGGGAATATCCTGTTTTCTCCTTTCAGCATTCAATCTGCTCTTTCAATGGTGAGTAAATATGTGTTTTAGTAAATTTTCTTCATATAAAAAACTTGTTTGGGAACTCAGCCTTGCTTGGAAACTATGTTTTCTCTCTAAAAGTTAAGCTAAGAATATTCCCGTAGTTCTACCAAGTTCCACAATCAAATTTTTAGACAAAACGATCAAGGGGTTTTGAGTTATGATCGGACATAAAATTTTCTTAATGACCTGCTCCAAGGAATACATTTAGATCAGTACCAATTCAGGTACAACTCAATCTTGAACTTCAGGTTCTCCAATAATACCTTGGTCAGTATCAATCCGGATATGACTCCGTCTGAATTCTCAGAACTCAATCTAGAACTCGAGGTTCTCACAAATACCATAGTCAATATCAAACCCGATACGACTCAGTCTGTATTCTCAGGTATTTAAGAAATACTTGTAGATCAGTACCAATCCAGGTACAACTCAATCTCGAACTCCAGGTTCTCCAATAATACCTTGGCCAGTATCAATTAAGGTTCATCATGAATACTGTCAGTGTTTCGGATCCGTATCATTTTGATGCGGATCCGGATCCGCGGATCCGCATCCGTGATGATGGATCCGGATCCTGAGCATTTGCCGCTGAGTAATCCTAAAGCTAAAAATGTCGTCATTACTATTATATAAATGTAAACATTAAATTATTAAAGATAATTTTGAAAAATTTTCGTCATGTAAATAATACATTTACGAACCATTTTGATTTATTTATTCCATGGTTTTGGTTAATTTTTGGCGCTACCCGGATCCATATCAACGTTTCCTGATACGGATCCGGATCCGGATCCGACCAAATGATACGGATCCGACTGGATCCGGATCCGAAACGCTGAATTACTGTAGTCAATATTAATCTGGATACTACTCAGTCTGTATTATCAGGTATCTGTCTTACAAGATACAACTCAATCTAGAAATCAAGGTTCATCACAAATAGCATAGTTAATATCAATCTGGATACGACTCAGTCTGTATTCTCAGGTATTTGTCTTAAAAGATACAACTCAATGTAATTCCCAATCTATTTTGATCTTTCAAGAAAGTGATTCAGGACGCTTTTCGTTTGCTAAACAAGAAACAATTACTCTCACACCGTAATCAGAGCGGAGTATTATTCCAACTAAGGTTTATTTTGAGTTCTTTGTTACAGGTTCAGTTAAGGAACATAATTACAAGTTTTGCATTGTTATGTATAAGCATAGTTTAGCTAATCACAATACAGGTTTTGCGTAGTAATTTACAAGCGCATTTAGATTTACAGACAATGTACAACGTCATTTAACTAGGTGTGTTCAGGTTTATAAATATTGGATTTGCTACGGTATTTATTACATGCAAACCAACAGACAGAAAACAGAAATTACATCTTTTTATGTAAAAGATGAGTTATTTGATACGTTTATAAATATGATAAATATTTCATAAATGTTATTGTTTACAATGTTTACAATGTTTACAAACTGGTTTATTCAGGTGACACTTGGAGCAAAGGATAATACACTTGAGCAGCTAATCCAGTTCTTGAGGTATTATTATTATTAATATAAAATGAAAAAATAAAAAGAAGGATACGAAAAATAAAAGAAAAGGGGAAGAAGGGGACAAAATTGGCATAAAATCTAATTATTGTTAGCAATGTTATATATAAAGGTTAATTTTTTCAAATAAAAAAATATTCTTGATCTTTGCAGTCATTTAACATCCTTTACTTTCCATATTTAAAATACAGGTTATAGATGAGTAGGGTTCATAATAGAATTGAGTAGGGTTCAGGTTAGGGATGTGTAGGGTTCAGGTTGGAGATGAGTAGGGTTCATGTTAGGGATGAGTAGGGTTCAGAATAGGGATGAGTAGGGTTCAGGTTGGAGAAGTAGGGTTCAGGTTAGGGATGAGTAGGGTTCAGGTTGGAGATGAGTAGGGTTCAGGTTAGGGATGAGTAGGGTTCAGGTTGGAGATGATTAGGGTTCAGGTTAGGGAAGAGTAGGGTTCAGGTTAGGGAAGAGTAGGGTTCAGGTTAGAGAAGAGTAGGGTTTAGGTTAAAAAGAGTAGGGTTCAGGTTAGGGATGAGTATAAAGGTTATTTTTTTAACATCCTTTACTTTCCTTACATTAAAAATAAACCTGCAGTTTTCTTTTGTTTTGATGAAAAATAGCTCAATAAACTATATTGTGGGAAAAGTAAAAAATCCAGTTTTTTATTATTTAGTCATTAATTTTGACCCTTTTGAGTTTTTGAGGTAAAACAATTTTTTCCCCTGCGGCGCGCAATTTTAACACCTTCATCTGGTATTTAAAAGATTTGCGCCCCTCCTTTTTAAATTTCTAACTACGGGCCTGATTATTATTATTATTATTATTATTTCTACTAATTACAGCGCCCCTGGTGTTGAAGATATGAATGAAAGAGTTGAGAATCTGAAGAAAAGTTTCAGCTCTATCCTACCAACCCTGCAGTCTAATGAGAACTATACTATTGAGACAGCAAACTCAGTATTTCTCAACGTGAGCATCTTCTTAAACAACAAATTAAAACTATATATCAAAAATATTATAAACTCCAAAAATTCTATTCACGAGAAGAAAGACGAAATATAAAATAAGTCTCTCAGAGGTCGTGTCAACGAAAATACAGTGATAACAATTAATCATTATAAAACGGAATGAAATCCCTAAGAAGTATTTTTACCAGAAACTACTCATGTTGCGATTTTGAAATAAATAACTGTTAACACTCTGAATATGTGTCCTGTGTCTGAATTTAATGAATTTGAGCCGCGTCTTAAATCCGCCTAAAACCGGTTTCAATTAAGCACCGGCTTAAATCTGGAAACATTGAATACAATTTTAAGTGAAACTGCCGCTCAAATTCTTTAAATTCGGCCTCAGATCATTTTAGAGATGTATATTATATATATCATTTATGTATATAATTATGCTCACGACTAAGGCCATTGACGAACGACAACCAAACTAGGAGTTGATTGCTACTGTTTTTGTCTAATTTTGCTTTGATTATAATTTTATTTATTTTTAAATTTAAGATAGCTGGAGAAATTGCAGGAAAAATCTTATTATGGTTGTCTTTCATCTCTTTATTAAAATTAAAATTTACAAAGTTTGATTTTGGAAAAAGAAATTTTTAAAGCATGCTCTAAGATTTAAAAAGTTATTTTCAGGCTAACTTTGAAGTTCTAGAAACCCTGGTTAAGGATCTAGAGACTAATTTCCAAACTTCGTTCAGGAAAACAGATTTTTCAAACTCACAGGTTAGATTCTTCAAACTNCCCCCCCCCCCCATCCTCCTGTATACGCACTTGATACGGTTATGATCATGCATCTAATATCTCTTATGTATAGAGCTCTGCATCTCTGAGCAATGGTAAAGGAGATCATGTATCTAATATCTCTTATGTATAGAGCTCTGTATCTCTGAGCAATGGTATAAGATATCATGTATCTAATATCTCCTGTGTATAAAGCTCTGTATCTCTGAGCAATGGTAAAGGAGATCATGTATCTAATATCTCCAATGTATAAGGCTCTGTATTTCTGAGCAATGGTAAAGGAGATCATGCATCTAATATCTCCTATGTATATATCTCTGTATCTCTGAGCAATGGTAAAGGAGATCATGCATCTAATATCTCCTATGTATATATCTCTGTATCTCTGAGCAATGGTAAAGGAGATCATGGTTCTAATATCTCCTATGTATATATTTCTGTATCTCTGAGCAATGGTAATGGAGATCATGCATCTAATATCTCCTATGTATATATCTCTGTATCTCTGAGCAATGGTAAAGGAGATCATGGTTCTAATATCTCCTATGTATATATTTCTGTATCTCTGAGCAATGGTAATGGAGATCATGCATCTAATATCTCCTATGTATATATCTCTGTATCTCTGAGCAATGGTAAAGGAGATAATGCATCAAATATCCCCTATGTATAGAGCTCTGCATCTCTGATAAATGGTTGGGTTGAGGAGAAGACTAGAGATAAGATCAAGAATCTGATCAACCCTGCAGCTCTCAATGCTAACACTATGATGGTTCTCGTCAATGCTCTGTATTTCAAGGGTATGTTGAAGTTTAAATTATTGATACAATCTGATTGGCGTAAATTCTTGTATCTTAATCAGGTTCAGCTGTGCAATTTACATCACAGCTAACAATTTCAGAAAAGGGGGATTTTTGTTTTTCTTCAAATTATTATTTGATAAAATAATCTTTTATTAATTATTAAAAGATTTGACACTTTGCTTAGCTGAACCTGATTTAGATATTCGATTTTACGCCATCTGATCTTCCTATTTCATCTCCTGCTGCATGCTTAATAGGAACAAATGGCTAAAATGGCTAATATGAAAAAATGCTTTCAAATACGAGTTTTTGGAACGATAATAGCTTTTAGCTCACTGGAAATTGTTGCAAAATTCTGCAGTACAGGGTGTCCCAATTAACACGGGAATTCAATCACGACTTCTATGTATATCGTCTTTATTCCATGCATGATTATGTTGAAAACATTATTATGAGGTATCCAAGCAAAACATTTAACACCGAAGACTGCTAGTCTTAGGTTTTCCAAAATGTGGTCTACCATTTTTTACCTTCAAAATTGACGGAGGTACTAGGAAAGGAATTGAGTCTTTCCCGCAAACTCTTATTTTCTAATCCTAATATCTCTGCAACCCAATGTCATAGACCTTAGATATTTCAAATTACAAATTTTGTTAGATCAATTAATCTAAGTTTGAAATATCAAAGGTTTACAAGATCAGGTTGCGAAGATATAGGGATTAGAAAATTTGAGTTTGTGGCAAAGACTCAATTCCTTTGTCCAGATTCCAGTTAATTAAAAATCACCAAAACTGTTCGGAGCTGGGAACTTTTGAATGGTGGATATCGGGATTAAGGCTTAATCCACTCTTTTTCTTAATCTCCAGATTAACATAATCTTTCAAGGATATCCAAGGAGAGAGAAAAAGAGTGGATTAAGGACTAAAATGAAAAGTTTCCACAGTGGATATTCGGATCAAGAAGTCAGGATTAAAGTTTATCCATTCTAAAGTTTTCAGCTCAGATTTTTAATATCTCGGTCAATTTTAAAGATACAACGAAGATAGACCACATTTTGGAAAGCTCATTATACTTTCAATCTTTTTTGATGCAAGTTATGTAATTTATCAATCATCGGAGATCAAAGACGATATAAAAGTCGTCTCTCAATTCCCATGTTTATTGGGACACCCTGTAGTTGGATCCGTCTTAAAACACTGAATTTAGAAACGGTTATTAATCATAGTAACTGACTTTAAATGCATTATTTACCATACTTAAAAATACTTAAAATATAAAAATTTTTGGAATAAAAAACGTCGTTTATGGGCCTTGCCCGTTGAACCCTTTTTCTATTAGGCAAATTATTGTTTATCGTGATAGAAGTATTTATTATTCTGGCTCTCAGCTCAGGCACTCCTTGATCTGTTAGCTTCCAAAATGGAATTGAGCTTTTGCCACAAGCTCAAATTTTATAATCACTATATCTTTACAACCCGAGGATGTAAACCTTTGATATTTCAAACTTAGGATTTTTTATCTAGCAAATTCAAAAGTTTGAAACGTCTGAGGTTTAGACCACGTTGGGTTGAAAAATCATAGGATTAAATATCATTGTTTGTTGCAACGTTTCTATTCCTTCAGCTTTTAAAATCATTTTGAAATAGGTGAAAATATCTTTCACGAAGACACAGGGTGTTCCACAACACGATGACATTAGAAAGAATACTTATGAGTTGTCTTGGATCTTTGAAATTATTTGCGGCATTCGTTCGTAAACCTACTTTTACATTTATCATTCTTTAAACAATATTCACAAAATTCGCCTAGTCCTGGTATTTCCAAAATGTGATCTACCATTTTGTGCTGTTAACAATACAGGAGATATTAATAATTTCGTTCAAATTTCACTTTATATAAAATAAAATCAAAATTGTCGAAATCTGAACAAAATCCTACGGTTGACAGCAATAAAAACGTAGACCAAAGCTTGGAAAAGCCAGGACTAGAGTAATTTTGTGATTATCAACTTTAAAACTATAATTCTTCTAAAATTAGGTTTTCAATTAAAATGCTGCAACTTATTTCAAAGATCGAGTCCTCTTTCTAGCCTGTTTTGTGGGACATCGTTTACAATAGAATTTCTGTGTATTCTAGGAATGTGGGAGAATAAATTTGAGAAGAATGATACAATGAAAAGAACGTTTTATGTGTCGGATACACGCTCCGTAGAGACTAACTTTATGCACCAGGTTTTAAAAATAATATTAATAATTAGTTATAATGATAATAATGATAAGGGAAATGATAATAATAATTAGTTACGGGGCAAAAAAAAAGTTGAAGGCGAATGTTAATGTTTAGTTTTCTGGAAATTTGCTTTAGCTTCAACCTTTTCAAATGTTTCTTGTTTCTATTTATTATATTTTTTGTATTTTTTAGAAGCGTAAACTGCTAGTAGGAGAGTATAAGAAGAGAACTGTTCTAGCTCTACCCTACTCTGGAGATAGATTCACCATGTACCTTATCCTACCCCATACAGTCAGGTATTGTATACCCTACTCTGGAGATAGATTCACCATGTACCTTATCCTACCCCATACAGTCAGGTAGTGTATACCCTACTCCGGAGATAGATTTACCATGTACCTTATCCTACCCCATACAGTCAGGTATTGTATACCCTACTCTGGAGATAAATTCACTATGTACCTTATCCTACCCTATACTGTAAAGTAATTTTTAAACTTCTATTGAAAATATTTGCTTTGTAACAAGATCAAATCCACTTAAATATTGCTTTAATATCATCTTCCTGTTCCACCATTTTCTGGTTTTCACTATAATAAGTAGAAATAGAATACTTTTCTATTTAAGAATATATCATTGATTATAATTTATTTAGGAGAGGTCATGAGAGATTTTTTGAAGATTATGAGGATACAGAATCTAAGAAGTAAGTTGAAGAATTTTCAGAGTTCTAAAAAATATATATTTTATGTTCTTAACCTTTAATTTTGATTTTTAGAACAAAAAAGTATATATTTCCTAAAACAATCTTTGTGCTCCATCAAAGTTAGGAGAAACTGGACAAGAAAGACAATCGATTTTTTAGGAAACAGATAGGTCAAAAAAAATGTGTTAGTGTTCTTGATCATTTTTATTTGTTATTCAAGATTTGGATTTTTCTTTAAAAAGAACATATTTGAATACCAGAGTTGAACTAGGTACGGCTGGTTCAACTGCGTCCTCTGTAATACTATAGGTTTAAAAAACATAACCAGTTGTTTTTAGAGTGGTTAAAAATTTGCAGAATTTAATAACAATGAACTTAGCTTTGATTACAGTTTTTACATAGTGTAGTGTTTAGAGATGATGACGTGAGTGTAGTTGAGAATGAACTGGAAGCTGAACTCCTCAATCAGAGTTTTAACAAGACAAAGTTCCAGAAAGAGGAGGTAGACCTTCTCCTTCCTTCCTTCAAGATAGAGGCTGATCTTCAACTCAAGGAAATCCTCCAGAGTGTAGGTAGGATCCACCATAGTGTAGGTATGATCCACCAGAGTGTAGTTAGGATCCTCCAGAGTATAGGTAGGATTCTAGATCCAGAGTGTAGGTAGGATCCACCAGAGTGTAGGTAGGATCCACCATAGTGTAGATATGATCCACCAGAGTGTAGTTAGGATCCTCCAGAGTATAGGTAGGATCCTAGATCCAGAGTGTAGGTAGGATCCACCAGAGTGTAGGTAGGATCCACCATAGTGTAGGTAGGATCCTCCAGAGTATAGGTAGGATCCTAGATCCAGAGTGTAGGTAGGAATCCAGTAGAATTAGAGAAATCTGAAGAGAAACATGGCTTTGACTCAGTATTGACTGTAGATAACGTTGATGTACAATGAGTGGGCTATTGAGTGCAGTACATACGTTATTGTTTTATTTTGATTTATTTCGACTCGAAACTTGCGTTATTGCTCAGTCAATAAATGTTGGATTGCAAGTGCTTTTCTCAAAAAATTAGAAATATCAATATTCTTCACCACTTGAATTTTTATTTTTGTTTTTTGGTCTTTAACAATAAACATACTCCGCGTATAGTAGGCATAGATCAAAGCGTTCAGTACGCTCCCCCGGAGATAAAAGTACTGTTAGATGTCATACAAGCAATATAATTCCTTGCATGATGTCACAAATTATTTAACTTTTTTATCTACAGTAAACCCACAAATCTTTGGAACGAATGTGCTCAATTTACCTATTGGAACCCAGGTACGTTTGCTACAAGCATAAGAGCAAGCACAAACTCCTTCTCTTCGGATTACCTCAATTTGCACTGATTGATATCTTACAAATATTTCGCAGGTAGGCAGTTTATAGAGGATTCAACCGTGAACTGAAACACAATAAATCTGTCCAAGGTCATTTAAATTCATAACAATAATAAAATGCTAGCCTTAATGATAAAACTTTCTTCAGGTTAAAATATTTAATTTTTTATGTAATAGAAAAACACTTGTATGGAGATTTGTAGTCTATTGTTCATTAGGATAGCACCTCAGCCTCGGGTGCGAGAGTTAAAAATGAGCTTTTATAATTGTATCAAGGTTTTCATGTTTCTCTTTAAATATCCTTTTTAAGTATCAACGTAGTGTTAGGATGTAGAAAATCAAGCTCCATCTGTCGAAGGTATCGGAGTGGAGGAGAACAACCAAGACGCAGTTGATGTAGATCTGGTTTACGTAGAGGTAGGAGCTACTCGGGGAGACAAACAGAGGTTGCATAGAACTCAAGCCAAGTGTCCAGGGAATACATGTGCAACTCAGCTTTCGTTGGTGTCAGGGGATACAGGGGCAACTCAGCTTCCGTTGGTGTCAGAGTCTTGACAACAGAGGTATAAATAAAATTCATTAGATGGAGTTCCAGAGCTCAAAGTTTATTAGCTTTGCTACTCACCTTTATATTGACTTATCGAAGACTCAAGGTGTCAAGATCAGTTGGTGGGAGGAGGAGTGAGCATCTTCATCTCAAGAGCCAAACACACAGGGAAGACGGTCTGCATGTTTCTGAGGAATACAGCTTATCCGCAAGCGAGCGGAAAGAATACAGGTTTTGTGATCAACAGGGACTCGATGCCTGCCTAGCATGAGAGTTATGTTGAAAGGGTTGTGAGAATATAGTATATTTCAATTTTAGATATCTGTAATTTTCAATGCGCACGGAACTAACGAGCACGGAACTACTAGAAGGGCTCACAATTATCACAATATCTACAGATATCATTTAAACCAACCGTAAGGATAAGGTTAAGCAACCTTGTGCAAAAATCTTTGAACATTTATAACGGATGATATATAAACCTGGAGATAGGACACGAAAGCTAGTGAGAAGGGCGCAACTAACCCGTCATTTTCTGAAAGATAAAACTCATTACTTAAAAGTTTGGGCTTGTCTTTTTAGGCATAGGTACTAGATAGACTTTTTAGGCTTATAATAAACTTATTTACAGTTTCCTAAATAAACAGTTTTCGTCTTATATATAGTTATAAATATATATAGTTATAAATATATATAGTTATATAGTTATAAAGTAAGCCTTTAAATGGATATTGGTTAAACACTAAAAATCTCAAATTAAATTAAGTATTTTGAACATTTAGATAATTGTAGATTTGTTGTATTTGTAGAGATTTGTAGGATAAGTAGATTGTAGACAGGATTTCTCTGTAGAACAAGCTGGAGTACGTCTCAAGTTTGAACACTCTGAACACAGAATAGTTTATGAAGATCCTCAGATCTTACCATGAACGTCATCTTCAGATTACTTTAAACAAATTAATTTAGTTTGCAGTGTCTCAGTGTTGCAACTAATATTCAATAATTAAAAATTTTTTTATGAATACTAACAACATTTTAAATTGAAAAAAGACGACTAAAATGTCATCGAAGGCAGGGATCTAACTTCCTCCCCGGGAAATTCTTTATATATATTTTTTACAAACAAAATAAAGACAAATATAAACAGAGCTGGGAACTTTTAAATTGATGATATCGGGATTAATGTTTGATCCATTCTTTTTCTCAATTTCGAGATTAAATAAAGCTTGTTCTGCTCTTGTTATAAATCTCCAGATTAATTACCCTTAGGGATTAAGGATATCCCATTCAAAGGTTTTCATCTCAGAACAAATGAGTTTGATATCCAATGTGGGTACTTTCAAATTTTAGGATCAATGTTTGATCCCTTAATTAAAGTTGTCCCTGCATGGTATAACGATCACGAGATATCGAAGAGGAATTAATTTAATCCGTAGATCTGCGTACGGCGGAGATCAATGCTTGATCCCAAGATTCACAATACAAATACTTAAACTCATTCAATGTTATTTTTCAGGTGTGAAAGCTCCATTTTCTGGAATTGAGGCAGATTTCTCTGGCATCAGCGGAGCTAAGAACCTTTTCCTTTCAGATGCAGTTCATAAAGCATTCATAGAGGTCAGTACTTTTTACTTTTTTTGTAATTTTAATGCTATTTAATAATTTTGGGATTATATTTTTTAATAATTTGGGACGTCAGATTTATTGAGTTTTAGGTCGTCATTAAAGACTTGTCCTTTGTACATACATAGATACATATACGGTGAGAACCTGTGGAATAGGAAGACGACATTAATGATTAAGTGTATTTGATGTTATTAGCTTTAAATCAATTATTATTAAGTCAAAGGAGTCTGTTTACCCTGAGCCAGCGATTTAAAACTTTAGCTCGAGTCTTAATTTCTTAGACCCAGGTTTAAGGCTCAATCTTAACCCCAACTTATGAATCAGCTGACGACATCTTGTGCCTCTTCATGTGATCGACAGCTGCCAGCTCTTAGGCTCGACTTAAGAGTTAGGCACAATGAAAATAAAACTATAAGGAGAAAATTGTTAAAAAGAAACAATGCACTGAAAACGATGATTATTTCCGCTAGGTGTCTGTGCCACGTAAAATCATTCAGAGCATCAAGAGCAGAGACACCTGGCGGCCAACTAATTGGCGTTTTAAGTGCATTTTATATAAAACAAATAAAAAACATTATAAAATATCAACTACATACGAATGCGTCGAAAAATTATGGGTTGTAATATCATAAGGATTTGTTTGAAATTAAATTGATTTTTTTACGATCTGAGTCGAATGTTGCAACTTTCTGAATCTGTATGGACGCTACGTTCTTTGGCATAAGTCGTTTTTAACAATTTTCTCCTTATAGACACTAGAGATAGAAGTAAGATTAGTAGCGAGCACTTCTTTTAAGGTGAATGTGGAGGGAAGTGATTTAGCTGCTGCAACTGGTTTAATGATGATTATAATGATAATGTATTTAACATTAAGGTAAATGAGGAGGGAAGTGAGGCAGCTGCTGCAACCGGTTTAATGATGATTATAATGATAATGTTTTGAACATTAAGGTAAATGAGGAGGGAAGTGAGGCAGCTGCTGCAACTGGTTTGATTATGATGACAAGAATGATGCCAGCTCCACCTCTTCAGGCACACTTTGACCGGCCATTCGTATTCTTCCTCAGAGATGAGCTGACCGGCCTTTTCCTCTTCCAGGGTAGAGTTGTCGATCCAACCGTCTAGGGATCATCAACCTAGTGGATCCAACTATCTATGGATCATCTACCTAGTGGATCCATCTATCTAGGGATCATCTATCTAGTGGATCCAACTGTCTAGGAATATTCCTAGTGGATTCAACTATCTAGGGATCATATACCTAGTGGATCCAACTATCCAGGGATCATATACCTTTAGGGATTATCTATTGTTAAAAGGATCATTAATAAATCTGTAACTTAAAATACAATATGATCCTGTTATTTATTAAGTTTTTAGAATAACAAACTGATATTGTTTATAGTTTTTAACATTTATGATATACTGTGCTAATCAGAAAGCTCAAGTTATGACTTTGAATAGTCTAATGAGCATGGGACAACGCAATTTTACAGTGTTCCCAGAACCATTTCACTTAATTAGTGATTTAATAAGTGTCTAGTAAAACTTTTTGCTTTGTAACAACATTAAATACACTTGTGTATTTCTTTAAAGTCGTCATCCTATTTTGGAGTTTTCTGGTTATTACTGTATATAATCAGAAATGAAAAATTAAATTTACAAATGCCGTCTTCAAAATTTATATTTCTTTGTTTGAACCATATTTATTTTCCATATATTAATATGCACATAGTAAGTAAGCAACAAATACATGTTTATTTAACACAGGAAATTATTTCTATGTGTTTTCCGCACTTTGTAATTCGCAATTTTTGGCATTACTCATTACTAAATAAATTAAGTTAGATTATAAAATTCATTCAATTAAATTCTGATCATTAATAAAGGATGTCAACTCGAGTTTTAAAAATTTTGGTATATAAGTTTTTTTTTCGTAAAATTCTGTCTCTGTATTTACATTCCACACTCCGGCCTAGCTTTGATCTCCATCTTCTGCAGACCTTCGGATTAATCCAATTCCTCTTCGATATCTCGTGGTGATCTTACCCTGCAGGGAAAACATTAATCAAGGATCAAGTTTTCTGAAGTTCGCTGTATTAATTAATTTCAATGGTCAAAACAAAGTTACGTCTGCTTCAGAATATTTTTCATAGAAGGTAAAAGACTGTTTTGTTATTCTGCAAAACATTGTATGATGTGTCTGTAACATTTCGTAAGGTTATTAAGTGTCGAAGAACTTTAGTACGTATGATGAGCATGTTTGTAAACGAGAATTTCTGATTTTGTTAACAGCATTGTGAAATCAAAACATAAACAAACAAATTTTGAACTTTGCAGACGAAACATCTAAGGATTATAGTTTTCTTAGTAGGCATCCCTTATATACTGAATAACAAAAATACAAAGACGAAATCAAGCTCATCAGTAAATTCCCATGTGTATTGCTGCACCCTGTATTGTGCCTTAATGTTTATTCTCTTTACTGTGGGGAATCTGTTAAAGTAATCCCTTCAGTTTAAGCTAGAACTAAATATCTGTGGGAAGAGGGGGGGGGCTTAGAATAGTTTAAAACTATAAAATAATATTCGTGGGTTTCAACCTTAACTTTAACGCAAACTTATCCGTGTTCATGATATCTTCATGTGAAACTGGACGTAAATAAGTTTGTCTTACATAAGTTCAGATATTTATGATTATAGATAAATAAACCTTAAATGACTTGATATTTAAAACTCAATGGTAAACAAAAAAGATTTAAAAGAAAATACAGTGGTAAGCCTATTTACCAATATAATAAAGACGACATTATAGTGCAGCTTTGCTTTCTATCCAGCTTTGTAAACAAAAGGGAAGCTGTGAGTTTAACGGGCAAATAATCTTTGCTATAAAAATAATATTTTCTTATACGAAACAAAATTGATTGGTTTTATATTTACTGAAACATTACAAGTTAACTGTTTAATAATCTTAAATAAATTGTGTAGGTATATACCCTGAATTTAAGCACGATCTACAGCGATCGACATGAAGTACACTTGCAGTACATATGTTATCAAAGTGTGTACTGCATATTTTATCCAGCTGTATCCTATCAGGATTAAATATCCCAAAAAATAAACCTATAATAAATAAACCTAAATTTCTTCACGTTTCCTTCCTCACACATTTAAGGTTATCCCATTTTATCTCATGGAACAATAATATCTTAAAAACAAAAAATATTTCCTCTTTTAATTCACAGCTTCATATGTTTCCATGCAAGCTGGAAAATAAGCAAAGCTTCACTAAAATGTCGTCTATATTATATTGGATATTTAGGTTTACCACTGTATGAAAAATCTACACCGCAAAAGTTATAATATCATTAGTTTGAAAAGACAATTCAAACTAGAAATCAGAGAAATCTCATTGTTTTCCCATTTATTGGTTAAAATATCTACATGGACCACACAAAAGATTAGTTTGAAAAGACAATTTAAACTAGAAATCAGAGAAGTTAAAATCTCATTGTTTTCCCATTTATTGGTTAAAATATCTACATGGACCACACAAAAGATTAAGTGATAAAATAGATTAATAGGTTGATGGTTGCATGAAACAAAAATGGAAAAAAATAAGGATGGATAGATTTCGTACTGTCGTCTTTGAAGTCTCATCCTGAACCTTGAATATAATCTAAAAGAAGAAGAATGAAAATGTAAAATTTTTATCAACCTTTTATATCCGAATTAGTACGAGTTTTACACACTTTTTTATGTCAAAACCAAAGAGAATAAAAAATATATTAGAGTTAGCAAATCCTTCAGTATAAATTTTGTCAGTCCCTTTCAGCCAGAAAGGGAGTTCAAAGTGTACAAATCATGTAAATGTTCACAAATTATATGCAGTAGAGTACATGAATACAGTATGTTTCCTAGATTATCCATTTCAATTTCGAATTTTTTAAAGCTTTTCAATAAACTTTATAAAATGAATTATGTTAATAAAAAACATCATTTGATTTATAGTTATAATGGAAAATCATCGTTTGTAAAGTGAAAGGCATAGAGTCTATGTGAAATGATCATTGGTCAGTTATGAAACCAGCCTATTTCATAATTTGGTTCTTTTTCAATATTAGTTTTAGATTTTCTATAAAATGATGTTCCAGGGCCCAAAAGGTTATATAGCGCAAATATGTGAAGTACACCTGCAGTATGAAAACAGTACAACAAAATGGCCGTTTTACACTTTTTTTCTAGTAAATTCCACTCTAATATATATTCTATTCTCTTTGGTCAAAACCCTGTTTTCCCATTTTTACTTCTAAGAAAAATCTCTATTCTAAAAGTTATTTGTTTGTTAAATATGTTTGTTCTGAGAACAAATTTAATGAATTGAAGAGGTTGCTGAACCACCTACCGCCCGCTCAAACCCTAATTAATCTTAAACTTTAAATCGATGATTCAGTATTTGAACCAGTGGTATTGCAGTTCAGCGAATTTATCAAATTCCGTCCCTGCATTTGAAACAAATTAATACTATAAAATAAAATGGCTGTAATATAAACCTCCCAACCTCTCCCTCCTTTAAACCTGAACCTGAACCTGAACCCTGTGAGAATATTCTTAAACAAATATTGATGTATAATTTATAAAATACTTCATCTCTTCTGAAAACTTGGAAAATTCTTAATTTTCATTTTTTCACAGGTCTCAGGATAAAATCATATCCTTTATTCTATATCTAAAGAAATATATCGAATTAAATCTGTTTATTTGTGTGTTCGAGACCGTTTTGCTCAAAATTTGGGTTGCGGATCTTAGAAAGTTTGATATTTAGTTAACTATTGTCCAGAATATGCCACATGAGATACTGGCAAGCGACCCTACCAGAGATAAGACGAGATCTATTAAAGGCTAGAAAATGTGATATTTTCCACTTCAGGTTTCATTGTGTACTAAGGGATAATTCACAATCCTTTGGAAACGAAATGCCTTCAAAAATAGAATAAATTCATCAATTTTATGCATTTTGTTAAAAATTTAAATATTTCTTTAAAAATACAATCGGCCTGCTCAGCGTATCAAGGGTTTTAATATTAAAAGAACTCCTTTTATAGTTCTGATTCAGAAAAATGTCATAATTGGGAATTGTTGCCCTCGTCATGTTTGACATTCATTCTCGATATGGGTTGGGATCGTTAAAACCAAGTCTTTCAATTTGTTAAGCCAAGAACTAACAGAGAATTCACTTTGTAGTATTTTCTTAAGTGCAATCGATTTTTTAGTGAGTATTTATAAAGGCTGCGTAGACAAAGACGAGTTCCACTATTTCTTGGAGCTTAATCTGCACTAGAATAACAGAGCGGTAAAATTTTTGCAATTCAAGGACGGATGGGGGGGGGCAGGGGCAGGTGCCCTCATGTCTCTCTTATATCTTAATTTTACCGGATGCTTAGCTAAATGTTCTTCTTGATGGAGAGGGTGGTAAAACAATACAATATTTGAAAATATATATTTCCTATTAAGTTGTTTTCCGCTCTACTCCATTTTTTAGTTAATGAAAAGAATAAAGTGCAAGTATCATTTTTTTAAAGGACAAGGCCTGGGCAAGGTGAAAACTTTGAAATTGAAAAAATACACACAGAGCAATTTAAGATATCGATATCAAAATGGTAAAAACTAACAATATAACATAAAAAGGTCAAATTCAAGTACTTGATCCATGGGGAAACCCTTCAAAATAACGGAATAGCAGAAAACAGACAGAAATATGATGGATCTAAAAATCAAGATTTTAAGCATCGGGTTTTTATTTCAAAACTTTTTAAAAGTTTTTATTGTAAAATAATTTTGGCCTTCTCTTAACAGAAGAGTGAAAGAAGAGTAAAAGAAATCTAAGCTTTTCACGTTACAGGTTATTTTTTCTTCAAATAATAAAAAGATATTGTTATGCTATTGTTATTATTATTATTGTTATCATTATTATTTTTGCTATTATTTATTATCTTTCATCTTTACAGCATTTGATAAACACTGTAGTTTTTATTATGTATCAAGATATTATTCTTATTATTGCATGCATGGATATTTTTTCAATCCAAGTATGTTTAACCCTATTCCTGCTGGGAGGGGGGGGGGCTGTAGTTTTTTTTACATAATACAAAAAGTTTAGGTCTGAATCTGTTGAAATTTTCTGACTTTTCCTAAATACCAATAGCCCTCCCTTTAGACCTAAAACCAGGCTTTTTATACTAACTGCCTGAGTCCTCAGACACACTGCCTGAATGAGTACCTTTTCCTGTAACAAACTAGATATTTCTTTTGACCCATTTTCAAATACAAAATACAACCCGTCAGAGAAAGTTGCACATTTATAGTTTTTCTTAGTTCCACATCATTTAAACATTATTTAAACATTTTGTAAAAAATTTTCATGTATGTAATGGCACAGTCAACGGCTTTTCAAACAGGTTTTCTATACAACTGGATTTTGTTATATTTGGACATCAAACATGGGATTAATTTTGATAATTCACATAATAATTTCCTATGACTATGTGACTCTTCTTATATAGATCTCATAGCATGTCAAATTCACAACAATCCCCTTTCATTTTCAATTTTCAATTGTGGTTATAATTTGAAAAACGAAATTGGGAGGTGTACCGTTGTGAATCGGTCATGCCACTATATAAATAAAAGGTGTTATTACGACTACATTCAAAAATCCCTTGTTTTGAAAACTTCAAGATTTTAAATTATGAGTTTAGAATTTAGATACATTTAAATACAGATATTCATTTAGAACTGTAGAATACTCAGCTACTCAATATAACAGATATATGAGAAGGACTTTGTAATTGAGACTTCTATCGTAACTTTGTAAATAAGTAACTAAATGAAGACCTCCCCCCCACACCTCCAGTACACCCCCCGCCCCCCTGGTGGGAGGTTGAGGAAGCAACTCCGGGGGGCTAGAGCTACACACCTGCAGGGATTGATGGATTATCATCTCTTAGAAAATATATCTGTTTACATAAGACAAGGAGTTATAGGAGATATTCATGGAGTTATTGGAGATATTTAAAGAGTTTTAGGAGATATTCAAAAAATATAGGAATATATTCAAGGAATATAGGATATATTCAAGGAATATATGATATATTCAAGGAATATAGGATATATTCCAGGAGTATAAGATATATTCAAGGAGTATAGAAGATATTCAAGGAATTCTAGGAGATATTCAAAGAGAATAGGATGTATTAAATCAATTATAGGAGATATTTAAGGAGTTCTAGGAGATATTCAAAGAGTTCTAGCAGATATTCAAAGAGTTCTAGCAGATATTCAAAGAGTTCTAGGAGATATTCAAGGAGTTATAGAAGGAAGGAAGAAAGGAAGGAAGGGAGGAAGGGTATGGTAGACACTAAGCAGAAGTTCATCATCCCTAACAAGGCGTTACAGTGTGACAGTTAAATAAACTGAGCGTATAGAGCTTATCATAAGGAAGGGTAACGGTCCATAGCAGGGACTAGGGAGGGGGAATCAGGGGCTTGANTGATTATTTTTAAAGTGTACTTGATTACTTTTAAAGTGTACCTGATTACTTTTAAAGTGTACCTGATTATTTTTAAAGTGTACCTGATTATTTTTTAAGTGTACCTGATTACTTTTAAAGTGTACTTGATTATTTTTAAATTGTATCTGATTATTTTTAAAGTTTACTTGATTATTTTTAAAGTGTACTTGATTATTTTTTAAGTGTACTTGATTATTTTTAAGTGTACTTGATTATTTTTAAGTGTACTCGATTATTTTTTAAGTGTACTTTATTATTTTTTAGGTGTACTTGATTATTTTTTTGGTGTACTTGATTATTTTTTAAGCTTGTACTTGATTATTTTAAAAGTGTACTTGATTATTCAAAAGTGTGCTTAATTATTTTTAAAATTTATTCTTTAAATTTATCTGGAAAAAGTTGCCTAGACACGAAATGTTTCTTTATAAAATTTAACCTACTTAATCTTAAACTTCTAAAACTAAATAAAAAACAATCCCGAAGTTTTGACATACTAACAAACATAAAAACAGAGATTACTACTTCGTATACATACTTTAAATGGAAACAAACAAACAAACAAGAAAAGTATATATAGAGAATATATTCGAAGGGGGGGGGGGTTGCTCCACCTTTTGTAAGTCTCGGGTAACAAGTAGTTTATTTAAAGAAACTATACATATAATAGATACAACTTTCTTTTTATTCCTCTCACAAAGTCCATTACAGGTGTGGTGTAAAAAAGGTTTCTCGTTTTCAATATTTCTTGGAATTTTCTAAACTATCTTTTAGAAAATCCACCAAATGACCAAGAACAATGTCTTCATCTACATTTACAGCCTCCTCATCAGGTTCAACAGGATCTAGTGTCTTTACACCAACTTCTGCACCTCAAGTTGTTCCTGAATCTAACTGTAAGTTTAAATATAAATTTCATTCTAACGGAAAGGACCGTTCAGTTATATATTAAAAAACAAAGCAGTTGCTTGAAAGGCCTATCCGTTACATCAATTTGACCAACCGTTAGAACAGATTAAAAAAGTTATAACATTAAAAAATAGCTTTAAAATAACCCATGGTGGGTACAGGAAAAGAATGTAAGGCAAGGAAAGTCAATTGCGGTAGTGTATACTCTGCGTACATATTGAAACCAGTTCTCTCTGGGCGGAATTTGTAAACAATAATAGATGCATCAGTGTTCGTTTAGTATCCGAGGAGGTTAAAAGCATTAAATTTTGATAATTTTGATAATTCACATAATAATTTCCTATGACCAGAAGATTTCATTGATTTTTTATGTGAATGATGGATCCCATGTCAGGCTTCAACATCCGTCTTGTGTTTACATTAGCGCCCAGAGACAGTACACTGCAGTACTAAAGATGTGTACACTTATGAAATGACTTTCCTTGCCTTACATCCTTGGGTACAGGAGATCTTCCGTAAATCTTCTTAGTCTTAATGTATGGGTCTGCAGTACATCTACCTGGTCTTAATATACTATGTCTATGTCTGCAGTACACCTGGTCCTAATTTACTATCTATATGTCTGCAGTACATCTACCTGGTTCTAATGTACTATTTCTATGTGTGCATTACACCTGGTCCTAATGTACTTTGTATGGGTCTGCAGTACATCTCCTTGGTCCTAATGTACTATGTCTATGTCTGTATTACAGCTGGTCCTAATGTACTTTGTATGGGTCTGCAGTACATCTGCCTGGTCCTAATGTACTTTGTATATGTCTGCAGTACACCTGGTTCTAATGTACTATGTTTAGGTCTGCAGTACATCTATCTGGTGTGGGTGTACTTCTTGTACTATGTAGGAGTAGGGTATGCCTCCTACTACTATCCCTATATACTAAGTATTCTACTAGATTTTGTTCCAACCAACTGTGGAGGAACAGGTATTTATTATTATTTATTATTTATTATTTTACGAAGGAAATACGCAATTATTTATTAACCTGAAACTTGAATAATTTTTATTTGATTCGGGACAATATGATTATTTCAACAAGTATGTTTATTATATTAATTTTAAACAAAGAATAGCTTCGTACATTAGGCTCATAAGGAGACTTAAAGGGTACCGATGCAAATTCTTTTCATGTAGTGTTAATTAGAATTACGTTTTGCAGTTCCTTTAAAACAAAAAAATTAATTAAAATGTATTATAGGAGGCACAGGATCCAGTTCATCTACTTTAGGTCTAGATTCTACCCTTGCTCTCCTCTCTCTTCAACAAGAGGTTTAATACTCGATAAAATTCTACCCTAGCTCTCCTCTCTTTTCGACAAGAGGTTTATTACTCTCTAGATTTTACCCTTGCTCTCCTCTCTCTTCAACATGCAGGTTTATTACTCTCTAGATTCTACCCTAGCTCTCCTCTCTCTTCAACAAGAGGTTTATTTCTCTCTAGATTCTACCCTAGCTCACCTAGCTCCCTGTGAGTGTGCAGTTTGGATCCCTGTGAATGTGCACTTTAACTTTGGATCCCTGTGAGTGTGCACTTTTGATCCTTGTGAGTGTGCACTTTGGATCACTGTGAGTGTGCACTTTAACTTGGATCTCTGTGAGTGTGCTTTTTGGATCCCTGTGAGTGTGCACTTTGGATCACTGTGAGTGTGCACTTTAACTTTAGATCCCTGTGAGTGTGCACTTTTGGATCCCTGTGAGTGTGCACTTTGGATCACTGTGAGTGTGTACTTTGGATCACTGTGAGTGTGAACTTTAACTTTGGATCCCTGTGAGTGTGCACTTTATTATCTAAAACGTATAGTTCCATACAAAATACAAGAATAGTAAGGCAAAATATAATGAGTTAGACTTAGTTTTTTTGAATTCTAAATAATACCGTGGCTGGATCCCATAATTAGAATTAAATTTATTTATTTTTAGGCCACCAGTTCCGCACCCATTAGTATAGCTATACAACCTTCATTTACCAGGCATCAATAATAATAATAATAATAAGAATAATAATAATAATAATAATAATAATAACAATAATAAAATAATAATAATTTATCTAAAAATATTTTAGCACTACTACAGCTTCGAGTATTCTTTCAAATTATGGGATTCAGGCATTCAAATTAATACATCTATTCTAACATTTTTGATATAAAGGTTTTTTTTACCGAATTGAGTTTTTGCCACAAACTCTGATTTTATAATCCCTATATTTTAGCAAACAAATATCGTGGACCTTCAGATATATAGATTGTGATTTAAAAATTTGAGTTTGTGGCAACATCTCAATTCCTTTCTAATCATTTGGTTTTAGAGTCCCTTGATTTACAATCCCAGTTCTGGACTATCCAGCAGTAACAGGTAAAGAAAACATGATAATTACTAAAGGGAGTGTTCGAGAAAACTGAAGGGGAGTATAGGCTTATGGCGTAAAATAATCGCTCTTTAACGCTACTAATCTTACTTCTATTTGTTGCGTCTATAAGGAGAAAATTGTTAAAATCGACATGTACCGAATAACGTAACGTCCATACAAATTGAGAAAGTTAAACATACTACTCGGATCGTAAAAAGATCAATCTAATATCAAACAAATCATTTAGATATTAAACCCTATAGTCATAGATGTTTCGTCCACAGTTGATATTTCATAATATTTTTTATTTGTTTTATATACAATGCACTTAAAACAACGATTTTTACCACTAGGTGTCTCTGCCATGTGGAATCATTAAGGGCATCGAAAGCACAGACACCTGGCGGACAAACTTTTCGGCGCGTTTTAAGTGCATTGTATATAAAACAAATACAAAATATTATGAAATATTAACTATATACAAATGCGTCGAAAAATAATCGATAACCATAGGTTTTAATACCTGAATGATATCTTTAATATTAAATTGATTTTTTACGCAACTTTCTCATGGACTCTAAGTTCTTCGGTAGAAGTCGCTTTTAACAATTTTCTCATTTTAGACGCAACAGACAGAAGTAAGAAGTAGAGATCAAAAGCGATTATTTCATTTTTCGCGAACACTTCCTTTACTGGGCGTATTTTCTATAAATATGAATTGGTTGACATTGCAAATCTATTTTTTCTGGAAAAGTTTTTTTTCTGTTGGAAATTATTGGACAAGTTTTTCAAGTAATTCCTAGATTAAATATGAGCAGGAAATGGTTAAACATTTTCCATTCTATTTGCGAATGCGAGTCATTTGTCATCGTTGCTATTTGTTGATTTATAGTGTACTGTACTGTACTGTTCTGTACTGTACTGTACTGTACTTTAATGTACTGTACTGTACTGTACTGTACTTTATCGTTTTTTAGTTTCAACCTAGGAAGACGTAAACGATCTATTCTTTACGAAGCATATAACATCAGTATTGCCGAATTTGCGGATTTTAGCGATTATCACAGCGATTATGGACGAAGAGAAGAACGATCTAGTAGAGAGAGAAGGGAAAGCAATCAGGCTGAGGTATATCTAAATCAAAAGAAAATTAGATGTGTTTGTCTTTCAGATTTTTTTATTGTAATCACTTTTGCAGGTCACTAAGATGGAAAAGAAGAAGATAAAGAAAGTCCAAAAACCTGTTGCAAATGGTTCAAAAAACAAGAAAAAAACAGAAATAAAGAAAGAAAAGATGAAAATCAAAAAAGCAAAAAAGCAAATAGAGGACAACAAAAGTGCAGCAAAACCGAAGAATCCGATAAAAGAGCAAAATGACGTAACTAACGACACAACGACCGTTAAAACCCAAAGAGTAAAGAATGATTTAATCAAAGCCCGAAAAGAAGAACGGATTCAAGAGAGAGTATTATTTCGAACCCAAACCAAGAAATCAAGAACCTCGAAAACATCAGGTACGTCATAACGTCCATATTTATATGCTTTTTTTTGTAAATGATAGGGACGTATTCAGGAATTTGTCCACGGGGGGGGGGGCTTCTTTCATAGCCCCCTTCCTGAATACACCTCCGGTAAATGTCCCAAATAATTAATGAAACTATTTTCATTATATTTTATTTTTAGAGCTTAAGCTTAACTTTAGCTACGAAAACTGGATTTCAAATTTAAGTTTCTAGTTAATGAGAAATGAAGACTTGTCGTTTTATGTCTGAATTGAAACAAATAGAGGCAATTTTCTTGCTTGTCTATTCTGTAGGAAAATGTGCAAAATTATTAATAACTCTAAGTACTATATCTCTTACGCAATTTTAAATCTTCCCAAAAACTGAAATGATGTCCTTCCAAGATGGGTCAGGTCTGAGTACAAGGAAAGAAGAGAGAAAGCAGGAAAGAACGATGACTGGTGAAAGGAGAAAGCTAAGGAAGCAAAGAAGGAGAAGGAAGAGAAGGTTAGCAATGGGAACACGAATTAAACCAGAGAACGTCCAGAGTGTTTATCAAATGTTTACAGCCGGGAAAAAGAAGTGGCAGGCAGGACATCTTTATTTTTCAAGTTTTATTCGGATTTTTCGGAGGGTCGCATGCATTAATCCTTAGCCATATTGACGCCNTGACACTTGCTTTCTTTTTTTTTGAGGGGGGAAGGGAGCAAATTATCAGGGTCGTCTTCCTATTCCATAGTTTCATGGGTCTCACTGTATGTTGAAATATATTTATTTTAACTCATGAGCAAAGCACTGTAAAAGTCTAAGATGTTTGTCTGTAGAGGATGAATGGGGGTTTAGACATCGGGTTTCCGTTTGATCTTAAAACTGGAGAATTGAAATCTTCCTTCAAGGAGACAATACACCAGAAGGTTAGTTAGAGTCTCAAACTTTAGAGAATTCTGAAAACCAAACCCCTGCTTGGTATTCGTGTTGGGTCGCAAACTTTTGTACATTCTGAATACCAAAAACCCTGTTTGGTATTTAGAGTACCAAACCTGTTAAGTTTTTGTTTTTTTCAGGTTCAAACCTGTTTGGTATTCGTGTTTTCGTGTTTGAGATCCAAACATGTTCGTATTTATGTTTGAGATCCAAACATGTTTGGTATTTGTGTTTGAGATCCAAACATGTTTGGTATTTGTGTTTGAGGTCCAAACGTGTTTGGTATTTGTGTTTGAGGAAAAAACATGTTTGGTATTTGTGGTTGAGGTACAAACATGTTTGGTATTTGTGTTTGAGATCCAAACATGTTTGGTATTTGTGTTTGAGGTACAAACATGTTTGGTATTTGTCTTTGAGGTCCAAACATGTTTGGTATTTGTTTAAACGTTCTCGAGATTGTTTAAAGTAATTTTGAGAAATGAGACTTCTCATAAAAGATCATTTTTAATGATATAAAACTTTTGGCTTACTCAAGGCATTATCATTGAGACTCACCATCCCCCCTCCCCCCCCCAACACTTTTTGTCGTAAACCCATGAACTGAACACTTCACTATAAAGTACATGGATAGGTCGTATATGGAGGATGCCTAAGCAACGGTAGTGCAATTACATTGTACAGTAAGTGTTTCGGTTGTATCTTGGATACCTGGGTACTGTATATACACTGTACACTGTACAGTACATTTTTAGGTTCCATTTAGGATCCCTGGGTACTTCATGTACACTGTACACTGTACAGTACATGCTAAGGTTGTATCTAGGATCTCTGGATAATGCAAATACACTGTACAGTACATGTTTAGGTTGTATTGAGGATGCCTGGGTACTGCGAGGCTGTTAAACTGGAGCACTCCAGCGGGAAGATGAAGGAGTGCAAGAAACTGGAGACAAGAATACTGGCCCGACTTCAAGCCCGTCGGAGAAACAATTAGAGTTAAAATAAGAAAGTCCAGGACCCTTAGAGAAGACGACAGCTCAACAACAAAATGGCGGTTTTCCACTTTTTAACAAACCCGATATTATACGCTGTCGCTCTAGCACTTTGTAAGAATTTTAAATAAACAATATTTTCATTTTGGTCTGAGTCTGGCATTTTTGGAGCCAATTTGGTTTTTAAAAGACCCATTTTTGTTTGTTATGGTTTAAGCTGCAAGCTGTACAACCCTTTTGGATAGTTCCCCTATGTACCAATTATCTCCAAATACTAAAAATAAAGACATGCGCCAAAAAATAATGCGCTTGCCCTTTATTTAACTTCTGTTTAAGATAAATTACACGTAAAGATGATTTGAACTGCAGGGTACAAATTTCTATGAAACTTTTTTTTTGGAAATAAACATGATGTATTGGGAGATTTAAGATAAAAACAACAATCCATCACTGGGCCGCCAAGAGTCGCGCCAGGAACAAGTTCTTGTTTCTTATTGGTCAAGATTTGAAGAGCTGTCTTCTCATTGGCCAGAGCTTTGAATGATGTTATGTCCATCAACAATGAAGAATTTAAATATTTTCTTGCAACATATTGTATTTATCCCTTTAATTTTTGTATACGTACGCTGTACAAATGTATTTAAGGCTCGGGGTATTTTTCTTTGAAAAGTTAAATGCATTCAAAGCTCTTCATGCATTATTATGAAAATTGTACAAATATGAAAAATAATATTAATTATTCTTTAAACTTTTTGTTAAAACATTTACTTTTCGTAGCAAACTTCGGCTATCATATTTTCAAAACTAAAGATACATTTTTGGAAGCTTGACTACTTGAATATATGGTGATATTATGCTAAATTACCAGTAGGATTTCGTGAACTCGGAGATTCTCTAATTTTGATTTTGCGTCCGTTCAAATATTTGGAGACCATTACATTTGGTTTAGGTACCTCCAGAAATTTCAAAACATTTCTCTTCAAAAAGAGGAAATATGATTAACGAGTAATAACGAGTAATAACGTCAACTTTACTTATCATATCTACAAGGTCTGGGATTACGAAAAAGTATAAAAAGGCCAGAAAGTAATTCTTATACCAAGCGTCAGGAATCTTTCAATATTTAATGAGAAAGTTTAGTAAGTTAAAAATTAATAATGCAGAGCGTGTTTATAATAGATTTAAGTTAGGAGTAAGTTTTCAGAAATATGAAACCTAAGAATTTTGCTTAAAAATGTGAAAACACAGGAAATATACATTTAAATCTTTATTCTTTGTACAAACGATATCCTCCACAGAGGAGGGAGGTTCTGTTCTGCACATATATTGAGGAGGGAGGGAGGGTGGTGGAGGGGGGAGAGTATATATTTTGCACATATATTGAGGAGGAGGGAGGGAGGAAGGGGGGGGAGAATCCTTGCACATATATAGAAGTTTAGTTTTATGCTCTTTCAAGTCTTACTTGGTCTTAGATCGACTGCATAGAAATAAATAATATATTTTATTTTCTCCAAAGAATCGTTATATCTTTACAAACTGTATGATTTCTGTATATAGAGTAAAATATTCAAAGCTTCAGATATATCAAAGGTTGTAAATATATACCCTGAAGGTGAACTGTGAACTAGGAATTGTTGCATCAATTTTCAAGACTGATTAACACTGTGAACTAGACAGAATTAGAATGTTACTGTTTCGAATTAGTGAATTCATTAGATTTGATTTTATACCCAGGTGAGAGTAAAACAAACTTATCAGGATACAAATAAGAAATTCAAAACATTTTTGTTCTTCGCAATATTTCTCCAATAAGAGGAGTTATGCTCAAAAACATAAAAGATTTCAATTTTACGTGTTTACGTTAGTTTGACGTGGGTTCGACTTTAAAGTGACGCAACCCCATGATTTGATTTTACAATCTCAACCTTTGGATCGCTGTGAGACACTTGGCAGAAATCTGATTGAAGGAACAAACTCATGTGATCACTTATCAATCATGAACAAACTCATGTAATCACTTATCAATCATGAACAAACTCATGTAATCACTTATCAATCATGAACAAACTCATGTGATCACTTATCAATCATGAACAAACTCATGTAATCACTTATCAATGATGAACAAACTCGTGTGATCACTTATTTATCATGAACAAACTCATGTGATCACTTATCAATCATGAACAAACTGATGTAATCACTTATCAATCATGAACAAACTCATGTAATCACTTATCAATTAATCACTTGTCAATCATATGAACAAACTCATGTGATCACTTGTCAATCATATGAACAAACTCATGTAATCACTTATCAATGATGAACAAATATTCCGACTGTAAACACAATAACATCTCTTTATTCTTCTTCGTAAAACATCTCTCAAATTCTCTGAAATTGGAAACTTGAAAATAATATGTCTAAATTCATCAGACTATTAAAGCCTCTCATATGTAAAAAATAACAGATTTCAAGTGAAATAGGAAAATCAAACTATGAATATCATGGAGTCAAAGTTTATTTGTCATTTTTTCTAAACCATAAAGTAGAAAATAATATCCCAGCTCCTGGAAGATTTAAAAATCCAAATAAAATCAAAGAATTAATGCCTTTAACAAGAAGAAAAAATAATGTTCCTTGATTCTGAAACAAGTAAAATTATTTAAGACGTAAAGCGTGAAGTGATCACGTGCCCTGTGCGTCAGTTTATCACATGTTTGCGTCAAAATGTCACATGCTTGGTGTCAACTTATACCCTCGCTAGACCTCATACTCAACAGATCGGAACCAAGAGACAGGGGGGAGGGGAGGGAGAAAATACAAGAAAGAAATGAAAGAAAAAGGAAAAATGTATTAAAGGGACTGCTAGCGTAGTGGCACAGTCATGATTAACTACAATGGTACCCTTTATCCTACAGGGTGTCCCAAGAAACATGGGAATTCAGTGACGAATTCGATATCGTCTTTTCAAATATTTCTTTGATTTAGTATAGTGATACCTACTGAGAAAGCTGTAATATGTAATTATTAAAGTAGATGTAAAGAAGGTATTAGCGGAGAAGGAAGGAATGTATTGAAGGAAAGGAATGAAATGTATTTAAGAAGGAAGGTATATGTATTAAAGTAGATGTAAAGAAGGTATTAGCGGAAAAAGAAGGAATGTATTGAAGGAAAGGAATGAAATGTATTCAAGAAGGAAGGTATAGATATTAAAGTAGATGTAAAAAAGGTATTAGCGGAGAAGGAAGGAATGTATTGAAGGAAAGAAGGAATGGAATGTATTTAAGAAGGAAGGTATATGTATTAAAGTAGATGTAAAGAAGGTATACGCGGAGAAGGAAGGAATGTATCGAAGGAAAGGAATGAAATATATTCAAGAAGGAAGGTATAGATATTAAAGTAGATGTAAAGAAGGTATTAGCGAAGAAGAAAGGATTGTAATGAAGGAAAGGAATGAAATGTATTCAAGAAGGAATGAAGTAAAGAATTCAGGAAGATAAAGAAAGGAAATAAAAAATAAAAGTAAGGAAAAATACTGCAGGTAAAGAAAAAAAGGGTGAATGTGAACAAATGAACATAAAAAAGTATTTTTTTTAAATGGACATTTTAAAGGAAATACATTTCAAATTTTCATCCTTTCCTTTTTGACTATTTTTATGTATCTTTTTATATATCTATCTATCTATTAATCTGAGTTAATATTTGAGCCGTATCACAAGAACTGCTTTTATCTTGTCCTAATTGCTATCAGCCATTAAACTGGTGTTGAAAGGATGGATATTAAGTAGGGACGGATAAGAAGGAGAAAAAGATAAACGAAGCAAAAACTTTTGAACCTTAATCTTAACCTTAACCTCGATCTCAACCAGAACCTAAATCAAATCAAAGCATACTTTACAGGTATTGCTTGAATAGCATCCTTCGTATACCTAGACCACAACCTAAACCTAAACCTAAACCTAAACCTAAACCTAAACCTAAACCTAAACCTAAACCTAAACCTAAACTTTAACCTAAACCTAAACCTAAACCTAAACCTAAACCTAAACCTGAACCTGAACCTAAACCTGAGCCTAAACCTAAACCTAAACCTAAACCTAAACCTAAACCCAAACCTAACCAGAACCTAAACCTAAACCTAAACCTAAACCTAAACCTGACTAATGGCTTGACTTAATTCTAAACTCTAATCTGAATAATTTTACTGAACATTGGCCTGATTTTTTTTACCTATTTCCTACTTATTTTCGTTTCTTTTACCTCCTTGTTTTAAATCTCTGCAATTTCAGCTTCTTTTCCCTCCCTTCCTTTCTTTATGTTTTCCTCCTTTCTTTTCTTTCTGTTTTCCTCCCTTCTCCACTTCCTATTCCCCTTCTTATATCCCTTCCTATTCTCTTTCTATTTCCCTGCATGTTTCCCTTCCTATTTCTCTCTTTGTTAACCTCCCATTTCCCTCCCTGTTTTCCATCCTATACCCCTCTCTGTTTACTTTTCTATGTCCTTCCTGTTTCCCTTCCTTTTACCCTCCCTGCTTCCTATTTCTTTCCCTTCCTTCCTTTTTGCCTCCATGTTTCCTGCACTCTCTCTAGCTGTTTAAAAACACCTTGCAATTTCGTGAGAGAAAGCAGATCCTATTCTCAATATAAACATTAGGGCTAAATATGTTTATAATTTCAGAATAATCAATTGTAAGAATGTCACACAACTTGAGAATATATATATTCACATCTGTAGCCCATATGCTGGACTTAGGGTATACACTTAACCGGTCTTTAGCATATACCCTACACTCTATACTCTACACTCTACACTATATATGTACTCTACAGTCTACACTCTACACTCTACACTCTACACTCTACTCTCAACACTCTACTCTCTACACACTACACTCTACTCTCGACATTCTACACTCTACACTCTACACTCTACACTCTACACTCTACTCTCTACTCTCTACTCTCTACACTCTACACTCTACACTCTACTCTCTACATTCTACACTCTACAATCTACACTCTACTCTCTACATTCTACACTCTACAATCTACACTCTACACTCTACACTCTACACTCTACACTCTACACTCTACACTCTACACTCTACACTCTACACTCTATACTCTACACTACACTCTACTCTCTACACTCTTCACTCTATACTCTACACTCTACACTCTACACTCTATATTCCAATAATTGTAATTGTTAAATCTATGAATGGTTTATTTCTTCAACATTTCTATTTGTATCACAGAATAGATGTCTGACACTACAGGATACAGCTAATAAGATCCTTGGATACAAGATACAGGATACAGCTAATCGTATATTTGGATATAGGATACAAGATACAGGATACAGGATACGAGATGAAGGATTAAGGTTACTGGATGCAGGATACAGGATGAAGGATACAGGATACAGGATGCAAGATAAATGATGCTGGATAAAGGATGCAGGATACAGGATGCAGGATAAAGGATACATAAGGAGGATATAGGGCAGAAAATATTGAAAAAAGAGAGAGGGTAAGGGGGAAACATTTAAAATAAAAAGTGAGATTTGAAATAAAATTATTTAAAAATGAATTGAATAGATAAATGTGATTGACATATACATAATGTTTAGAGATATACATTAACTAACACTGTTTATTTTCTGACGACTAGTTTAGATATGTTCTAAGTTTGTAGCATCATATTATTTCATCAAATGTAAATAGTAATGGTTTTCATTGATAATTTTAGTTTTTTTTTTTTTTAAATAAATTCAGTAAATTGTCAAGCTCTAAACTTACAATAAATGGACATTTTGTCTTCTGAATTAAACCCCCACAGTTTTTAAGAAGTTATTAATCTAAAGCGGAGTTTAGAAGATAGAAGAAGTTTTCCTTTTCAAATATAATCCATGGTCTATAGGGTATTCATAAAAACCCAGAAATATTTTAGAATTGTAAAAAAATCAACAAATCGAATTGTAAAGCTTGCTGCCCGCTGGTATTTATAATTATTACTAATGAACTTGAGAAAATATAATGTTTTTACGTGGTTTGGTTTGGTTTAGTGTTGGGAAGGTTTGGTTTGGGTAGGTTCTGTCTGTATCTGTGTATTATCTGGGTAGGTGGGGGTTTGCATACTCATATGAGTATCTGGGGTAGGGATATGAGTAGGGGGAAGGACGGGAGGTAGGTTTATAGTATCCAGGATACTTCAACATCCCCGCCTCGTAGCCTAGACTACACGCGGTAGAAACAGAACCCGGACTCGGTAAATCTAAATTTCAAAAAAAGATTAGAGTAGATTTTTCACAGCTTTTAAAAATTTCATATTTTTTATTTACCTTTTCTTGATTTTTCAAGCAATGTATGTTGTTGAATTTGTTGTTGTTGTTGTTGCTGAGCTTGTTGTTGTTGTTGCTGTTGTTGGAGAAAGGTCGGGTTTAAGATCCCACATTGTGATTCTTGAGAACAATCTCTTCCTTGATCCTGATCCTGATCCTGGTGAACCTTCTCTCCTCCTCCCATACTAGAATATATCTCGATCTTAATCTTGATCTTAATCTTAATCTTAATCTTAATCTTGATCTTAATCTTAATCTTAATCTTAATCTTAATCTTAATCTTAATCTTAATCTTAATCTTAATCTTAATCTTAATCTTAATCTTAATCTAAAAGTTAATATTAACCTTAATCTTATCCGAATATTAATCTAAATCTTAAAAGTTTTCTCCGTTTACTTTTCTCTAAATCTTACCACTCTTCAGGATCACAGTCTCTAAACCCCTTCGCAAATGGATTACTGGCAATCTTTAGTTGTGTTATCTGAAGAAAAAAAATCATTTTAGAACAAAAATTTTTATTTAATGTATTACATCTGTATAGTCTGTTAAAAACTTTTGTGTGAGATAACATTAATCTTAAACGTTTAATCTCAATATCCGCTGTGATGACTTTTAAGTTTAAAGGGACTGTAAAGGAAAAATGAAAGGGGGTATAGGCTGAAACCTGAGAATCTCAGGAGTTGAATGAGACCCATGAGAGTTCTATCTGATGTTCCTGTCTCAAGAAATTGATATAAAGCTGTGTTAAAATTAGACCAAAACTTATATATATGTAAGATTTTGTATAAGATTTATAGTATTAAACAGATCATATTCAACAAATACGCAACCAATCTGAAAACAACGATATCCCAGAGGAGCCTGAGAAACTCAAGATCGCTCCTTTTTTTGAATTTAATAATTTTTTATTTTTAAGATATAATTGATAATATTATTTATGCGTCCAGAACATGTCACCGAAACTCCAACCAATGGCTATGCAATATTATTGTCACGTGTCTCCGTCTGTATCACTTTACCAGTATACTGCACTGCCATTGGTGGGAGTTTTGGTCACGTGATACGGAAGTATGTCTTACTTATAAGTTTTGGTATGATTTTGACACAGTTTTATGTCAATTTTTCGAGACAGGAACATCAGATAGATGTCTTACAGGTATCGTTCAACTCCTGAGATTATCAGTTTTCAGCCTATACCCCTTTTATTTTTCCTTTACAGTCACTTAAAGGATAAGTGCTTGATCCTTTAATTCTTTTATGTTTTTTCCCCGCTAGGTTTCGACCATGGGATATCCAAGAGGAAATTATTTAATCCTTTATCTAGGGATAAACTTGGGACAAACAACAAAATAAATTTGAACACTGCTTAATCTGTATAATCTGTATAATCTGTATGATCTGTATAATCTTTATAATCTGTGTAATCTGTATAATCTGTGTAATCTGTATAATCTGTTTAATCTGTATAATCTGTATAATCTGTATAATCTGTATAATATGCATAATCTGTATAATCAGTATAATCTGTTTAATCTGTATAATCTGTATAATCTGTTTAATCTGTATAATCTATATAATCTGTATAATCTGTATAATCTGTGTCAAAACTTACTCTATGGTTTTGGTAAGCTGTGACTGCTGTGAATTTAGTTTCTGTGAAGATGAATGTTTTAAAGTTTTGATGTGAGGCCGGGGTCGAGGCGGAGGCCTCATTTCGAGGATGGATGAATATAACATGCAGACGAGGCTGATACCGATGCATAGAATTCAAAATCACCTAAAAATTAAAATAAATTTTGTTTTTGAAAAAAATTCATAAATTATTTGTACATATAAAATATAGTTATCTTTATATATTTATATCTGTACAATCTTTAATGAAATTAAAATTTCCAGCAAAAATTTGCAAAAAAAAACTGTAATTCAAAAAATAATTTATGATCCTAGCTTGGGAACCCAGCTTGGTTGGAAATTGATTTTTATCTTTAAAAGTCAACTCATGCAAGTTCCCCAATTAATATAAATTTGAGGCAAATCGGTCCAGGGGTTTATGAGTTATGATCAGACAGACAGATAAACAGAGATTACTACTTTATATATATTAATATTGCTGATTGTTTAAATCAAATGATGTTTTTATTCACCTAACACATTATAAAGTTTATTTAACAGTTTAAAAAATTCGAAATTGAAATGGATAGTCTAGGGAACATACTGTATTGATGTACTCTACTGCATATAATTTGTGAACATTTGCATGATTTGTACACTTTGAACTCCCTTTCAGGCTGAAAGGGACTGAAAAAGTTCATACCGAGAGATTCTTTTAATTCCTCTCTATATATTCTATTCTCTATGGATAGATGACTTATATGTATCGTTTAACGCCAGGGATTCTCAGGTTTTATCCTATACCCCCTTTCATTTTTCCTTTACAGTCCCTTTAACATACATCTTTTTAAAATAAAAATATATATTCAGCTATAATTTAGTTTTTTTTAATTATCATATCGTTAAACCTTAATTATTTTTAACTTGAATATGTACTTATGTACTCTTTAACTTGAATATGTACTTATGTACTCTTTAACCTCAAAATCTGATTTTTCAATATCAGGGCAATACCCTGGGAAACTGCAGTTTACAAGTGTGAAAAACATCCGTCAAAATTAGAGGGAAATTGAGAAAGCTCGGCGGCAAGAAAGTAGGAAAAAACCTAATAATGTATATTTTAGTTTACATTTTTGAAAACGATTTTTTCAGCAAGACTTAAAAGTCGTCTTAGATCTTTGATTTGATTTTTGACATTCAGTCGTCAATGTACATTCATATGTATGATTCTTGAAACAATATTTACAAAATTCTCCAGGTATTTCCAAACTTCATCTGCATTGTTTGTGCTGTCAATATTAACAGAGATATCAAACATTTCGTTCAAATTTTACTTTTATTTGATAAAACCAAAATTGGCGAAATCTGAACGAAATTCTTCATCTCCGATAATATGAAAAGCTTAAAAATGGCAGACCACATTTTGAAAATGCCAAGGATAGGAGTATTTTGTGATTGTAAACTCTAAAATTTTACTTCTAAGACTAGGTTTATGAATAAATGAACCAAATTATTATAAATTTTAAAGATCAAAGACAACGTTCAATTCGTCTTACTACAGTCCTGTTTCGTGGGACACCCTGTACATTTCTAAACAGAAATTCTTAAAGTTATTGTTTACCAATTTGAAAACATGTCATTCACATCAAATTAAAGTAAATTTTATGATGTTTTCAAAAATAAATTATGTTTTTTAAAGAACGTATTGAGAAGAACAGACGTTACCAAATATATTTGCTTATTATTTCATAAAGTCACAAAGTCGCACAATATATTTGCACAAGAAATGCTGCATAAATTTGAAGTTTTTTTGAAGCATTAACTTGAATGGAAGACCTCTTCGAGGATAAGAAAACAATAATTTAAAAATATCAAAAAAAATTTTTCTTCATTGTTTTGCTAAAAGTGGCAGATTTGCGTAAACATAAATTTGATTATATTTAAGAACTATGCATTTATTTTTTAAATACTCGAAATCTGATTTAAAAGAGTCCTGAACATGTCGAACCCCCCCCCCCCCTTCGGTTCAAATGTTAGATGACACATGGTGTTTTATTTTTTCTTAAAATTCATATCTTTATCTAGTTTTAATGTTATCATTTTAGAATGAAACCAAAATATTTATGTTAGAATATTTAGAACTGCTGAGAAGGCAAATCTGTGGCAGATGTTAGATGATATGATACTAAATAATAAATATATACATAAAGCACTTTTATTCTTAGAGTATGATATCTATTCGGATCAAGCACTTTTATTCATAGAGTACACTATATTTACAGAGTAATCACTTGTATTCGTAGAGTTTTATATCTATACAGAGTAATCACTTTTATTTTTAGAGTTCACTATATTTACAGAGTAATCACTTGTATTCGTAGAGTTTTATATCCATACAGAGTAATCACTTTTATTCTTAGAGTTCACTATATTTACAAAGTAATCACTTGTATTCGTAGAGTTTTATATCTATACAGAGTAATCACTTTTATTCTTAGAGTTCACTATATTTACAGAGTAATCACTTGTATTCGTAGAGTTTTATATCTATACAGAGTAATCACTTTTATGTTTAGAGTTCACTATATTTACAGAGTAATCACTTGTATTCGTAGAGTTTTATATCCATACAGAGTAATCACTTTTATTCTTAGAGTTCACTATATTTACAGAGTAATCACTTTTATTCTTAGAGTTCACTATATTTACAGAGTAATCACTTCTAAGATTCTAAGATTCTAAGATAATAATATCATACTGAATGATCCCGATATTCTTATATTATAATATATATTTACACAGAGTAATAATTAATTGTTATATTCTTTAAGTCTATGTAAATAGATATTCAAAGTCTAGAGTTATACTGTAAGCATTAACCAGGGGTGTATATACATCTTTTTTAAATTAAAATATTAATAAAACGGATCAAAACAAAAAGGCAAAATAAAGAGAAATTCTTTCTCGAAAGAACATAGTCTAATAAATTTAATCATCTCAATTGCATTAGAAACATACATGTGGCCAATTTCTTAGACGTTCTACCATAGGTAGAACCATGGTCACGCCATGGTTACGCTTTACCAGAGTAGTGTAGATAAATAGATACGATCTATAGTTGTACCTATGGTAACATGAATAAGAAATCGGCCTATGATAAAAGTACATTTTACTGGTAAAATATAAGCTTACATTGTTTAAGGATGCTTGTTCAAGAGTTTTTGTAAAGAGATTTTAGACGCAAATAATACTTTTACATAATTTATAAAAAAGAACTTACATGTCCGTTGTCATCTAGTTGATTATTCGTAAGCTTGAGTTTATCAAAGGAAACTACTTGCTTCATCCATTGGGTTCCTTTGGCCGGAGAATCCGGATGTACATGTATACGAGGCGGAGAGTTTGGATCCGCTTTACCCGCCACAACCCAGCTCGAGGTGTGGAAGGCGTATCTGTATCTCTTATCATCACACGGTATAAAATCCATGACGAGCATGTAGTCCTCCATGGGGTCGAGGCCGAACAGCCGGACCTGGTAGGTCGGGAACATTCGCCGGCCGGCCTTAGTCACAATCATTTCTGTTCCTAGTTCATGGAACTCCTCCCAGAGGGACTTCATCTCTAGGTGGACCTGGACCCCTGATAGTTTAGGATGGACCGGAATATCTGGGTCTACAGGGTCCTCCTCTCCCATACAACCTGGAATATATTTATATAAATATAGTTTTTTTTTATGAAGATTTTGAACCTTTTTCCTTCATTTTTTAGATATCCGCCAACTTGGAATCCTCTTTTGTTAATCATTTTTATCCAGTGTGACCTTGGAGCTTTTCTAGTTTTAATTCTAAATGTTTTTAAGTATGAGAAAAGCAAAATTATTTGGTTAAATAATATTAGGGTTGGTCGATTTACATACTTTGCATTTGTGACCTAGAGAGCTGCAAAGTTGGTCAGAACTATTTTAAACCCTCTGGTAAGTTCAGATTTTTTTCGCGCGGCCATTTTCGCAAAAAAACACTATTAAGACCGAAAATTTTTTATTTTAAATTTGCCAATGAGGGTGTGAAAGATCCGTCTTAAAACACTGAATTCAGAAAAGTTGATTTCAAATAAATTTGTTAATTATTAAACCAATTAAAGAAAAAAAACTGGTTTTTGTCGTGAAAATTTGGCAGAGTCCATAAATAATAAATCAAACAATTTAAAATTTGAATAAAAAAAAACAAAATGTGGACAGTATTCAGCGGCTTGAGACGCATCTTTTGATACCTAAATTGATGTATTTTGAAACAATTTTTTTCGCGGAAAGCTATTTGCGAAAATTTTTGATTAATTTTTTCTGTAAAGTTCTTAGAATATTTAGGCGCAGGTATATCACTAGGCCCTCAAACTTGGTTACAAAATCGACCAACCCTATTGCATATTATGTATTAGAAACTAGAAATTTAAAACATTTTTGCATTTTGCAACTCCATTGCCCTCGGGTTGACCGAGCCAACCCAAAAATGGTTTTTTTGTAGCGTAGTACCCCTAAATATGAAAATCTGCGATGGTTTGCTTAAAACTTTAGGGTTTAAGGCGTATTTCGTATTTGGCGAAATCCTGATACATTTTTGTAAATAATTGTGAATAGTTTAGTTCACAATGTATGCTTTATTTGAAAAAAAAAATACCAAAAAGTCGTCATTTTTCTTTAAGTCGTAATCTCCCCGGCCCCCATGTATGATTTTATACCGCAATGTATCCTGTATACAGAGTAAACTAAACTAAGTATAAATATTTATTCTCCCGGCCCTCCACAAAGCTAATGTGTAGAAGTAGTGGGCTAGAAAATGTAAAGAAACGATGAAAGAGCTCTCTTTTAGTCTCTTTTAAACCCTCAAATACTTCGCCACAGGGAGCTTACAGGGATTCATAGAAGGGGCTTACAGGGATCCATAGAAGGGGCTTACAGGGATCCATAGAAGGGG